AGCCTCGATCAATGCCCAAGAACTGGCTGGCCAATCACAACGCAGAGATGTGTTGGCGAAGAAAACACAACAAGAAAGATGGCAACAACTATTGAACAGTTCTCGTTGGACTCAGCTTTGGAATCAGTTTGGAAGGATTAGACTTGGGGTTTTCATTGAAACGTGAGCAGGAAGAGGCTTTATGCTAATTCATTATTAAGGAGGACGTATTCGCCGTTTTACCGACAGGCTGTTTGTTTACACTCCCCCACCAGCTTCCTGTCACTCTTACACAGTCAGTTGCGTTCATTGGTCAGAGCGTTGGCCAATAGGCACAGACATGGTTTGAAAGACAACAGGTTGTTCTCATCTCACGTTTAGTCTAGTTTATCAGGCTAACATTATTATGGAAATTCAGAGCATTAAATATATATGGTGCAAATATGCAGTGTTTTTGGTTTGGTGTTGTCAGTTTGATGCAGCCTGTGACTTGATTTAGAGTTTTTTCAACAGCTCAGCAGTCTAATGGCAGTAGGGAAGAAGCTGTTTCGGACGCACCCTATGGTGCTTCTGTAGAAGGTGGTGAGGATGGGTGGGGGCAGGTTGTCTCTCCTCATCCTCCACAGGAAGTACATGCGCTTCTGTGCCCTTTTGACCAGTGAGGTGGTGTTTACAGTCCAGGTGAGGTCTGTGATGTGCACCCCCAGGAATTAGGTGCTGCTGACCACCTCTACAGCTGAGCTGAGCGTGGTTAGGCTAGTTCACCAATCCCATCAATCCTGCTACCCAAAGTCCACTCAGTGGATGACAAAATGGACAATCTCCAACTTGAATTCTGTCAAAAGAGATTAATACAGTAACTGCTGCGCCATCATTCTGGCTAAATCATGGCTTCATTCATCTCTAAGGGACAATGCTATTACCCTTGAGGGCCTCATGCTATAGAAACACGGAAGTCAGCGGTAAGACTAGAGGTGGTCTACAAATGCTAGATTGGTCGCCAGCTCTCCAGACATCAAGTTTCTGACTTTTAACTGCAGATTTATCTATCCAGTGACTTTAATTTGAAGTTGACTAGTTTCTAGTCTTTGGCTTTAAAATAAGTTAATAAAATGACAACCAGCTTTAGTTGCATTAAGTTGAACTTCTTTACAGCGTTCAACTCCAAGAACACACTTTTGATTAACAAAATATGCAGACTGGACAAGAAGAATGAAGGGCTAATACTAGGCAAGTATCTTATGGAAAAAAATAAATTACTGACAGAACAGCCCAGATGAAGCATTCCTATAACAAGCTGGAACAGAATAATGAATGTCTCCTTAAGGATGTAAACAAGCAGAAAACTACCAAAATGTTTCTGCTACTGTGTTGATGAATGATCAACAGAGGTGTGGCTTTGGCAACCAGGCAGAGGGAAGAAAAGGACACAGCAAGGGTCGTGTAATTACATGTTTTGCCTTGATCAAAACATGTGTATATCTGATAATTAAAGCCATTGAGTGTTAGATTGCAAAGGAAGGGAGGAAGCAAGTCGTGAGCTCAGGAAAGGAACAGGGAACCAAGCAGAGTCCCTCCTCAAAGCTGTTATTATATCTGGCCTTACTGGAGGAAGGCCTCTGACACAAAACCACCATCAGTCAGAGAGGAATTAATGAATCAGCACACATCTATTTTCATTTCACTCACATCCAACAGGGTTTACTGTAGGAGTCAAACCTAAACGACACATTATTCCATTATAACGCATGTTTGTTTACATACTGTCCTGAAAGGTTTGAAGTTGTTTTTACAGGTATTATAAGTGTGAAGCTTTTCTCTCTGCAGCACTGAAGAAAAATGAAACGGTTAATTGTGCCTATAATGAGTGAGCACTTTAAAATGTGCTTGTGGTTAGAACATAGTTAGAGAGATTTTAGTTACACTCATTTACTGTGTTAGCTGGATTGGCTGGAGTGGAAATTGTATCTCAGTGCTAAATGAAGCCCAAAGCTTTAATTAATGGCACGACACAAAAGGAGACAGACATCCGCCATAGTTCACGGCTCTCGTGTTTCAGCCGCTCCGTGATGGAAGTGTCTGGGAAATCCGGGCAGGTGTCAGGAGAAACAAAACCAAACAAGGGGAGTCTGACGCCCTGCTGTAATCAGCTATATGGTCATTGTTATTTTTAAAGGGTGCAGGCTGATCCTATGTCATTACTAACAGGAGCTTTAAGGGTAAATCCAGCAAAAGACACTTTGACACTGTAATGAAACAGGCAGCACGTATTTCAGTTAGATACCTTTACTGGAATAAACAGTAATTAGTAGTTAGTGGCGGTATATATAAAATATATAGAAAGACAAATAGAATGATACACAAGGACTCCTCTTCAATTTCATATGTAGTGGTGGCCTAGAGGTTAGAGAGGAATGCATATGCATCTTGGAGAGACGGGTAATGGAAATTAGCCGTGAGTCGCAGTCTAAGCAGATCGAGAAAAGGTTCCCTTAAAGGTTCTGTTCTTTGGACACACTTATTCACACTGTTATTAAGATAACAGTATATATATAAGTCTTTTATGATTACGTTGAATCACTGTATAGAAGAGCCGCGATGTAGAAACTGGTACTGAAAAAAGGGGATCCACCTCCACAGGATATAAGCTAATCCTTCAGCTTTAGAAAGCATGCAGCAGTAAAAGTGATTAGCAGTAAATCTAATTCCTTACAGTAGCAGCCATTCAAAATGGTCCTTCCAGCCGAATGGCAGCCAACTTCCAGCCAAAAGAGTGACCCCCTCCTTCTCCTGGGCATGCATTTTTTTTTTTACTGTGACTCGCCTCTTTCACTGGATTACAGTGTCTGACCAGGAGAAGGCGCTTCTCTTTAAGTCTTACTGTCCACAAATAATGACAGAATATGTTAGTACAAAGATTGATGTTTAAAAAAGGAATCTTAATGGACCAGCCAAGGACTCATCAAGGAAAGTTGGGAAATTTTGAATGGCTGCTACTGTATCTTCTTAAAAAATATAAGTATCTTCTTAAAAATATAAGCAGTTCTTTATTACCTACTAACATTCCTATATCATTCTGCAAAGCCCTTGGTGTTCAAACGTTGGCACCAATAAAGCAGAAAAGAGATAAAGAAAAACATAAATTACAGTTTTGAGTCACTTGACCGTTCAACATGGTTATTGTCTTTGTCCAACTTTGATAATGAGCAGTTACTGCAGGCTAGGGAACTGACATGTTGTGTTTGTTCCTAGTTGACTATTTGACATTAAAAGTCGTGGTAATATCAGTGTAGTGGGAAAAAAGTATTCAACTGTTTACTCTAGTTAAATAAACAGAGATAAATGGATTTTATTCAGTCGGCACTTTATTTTATCTTTGCAAAGAGAGAACAGTCAATCATACGGCCCTTATTCCACTGTAATCTGCCCTGTTCTGATCTGGGCAGAAAGTGTTCTCCTTACTTACAATAAAGGAAAGAAATTGGAGTCAAAACAAATTACAGACACTTTGGTTAAAAAGTAACATGCTATGAAAATACCTTGAGAAAGAATCTAGCTTGTTTTGGGAATGAAGTATGTATTGGCAGGGGAATTGTGTGGCCTTGCAGGTGAAACAGAGTAAAAAGTTTTTGTAGTTAGTAAATAGCATAAATAAATACATGAAATTTGGCTGTGACTCCATCCTGGAGAGAAATATCAGCTGAGCTGCTTCCATCAACACCCTTGTTTATAGATGCTGGAGATCGACCTGTTTTCCAGTGTAGTCCTGTTTCTCTGACAGTGACTGGCTGGATGTGGTCTCTTCATCCTCTGGCATGGGAGCTGGCTCGGAGCTCGTCTGCCTGGCTGTGTGTTTCCTGGAAGGGGGCCGCCTTTTGCAGCTGCTTTTTGTATCTCCTTGAACCCCAGTTGGCCTCAGCAGATGGCCGCTCACACTGAGCCTGGTTCTGCTGGAGGTTTCTTCCTGTTAAAAGGGATTTTTTCCTCTCCACTGTCGCTACAAGCATGCTTAGTGTGAGGGATTGTATCTGAGCCAATGAGTCGATGCAATCAACTGGTTTTCCTTAGATAGAAAACTTTGAATAAATGTGACTGGATGATCTGGTTGAACTGTAAAGTGCCTTTAGATGACATGTTGTGTGAATTTGGCGCTATATAAATAAACTGAATTTAAACTGAATTTAATTTCTACATACCATCTTTTCTATTCAAATTCCTCATACAGCTACTATATTTAATCTGCAATGTATTGAGATAATTAAAATGCAGAAAGAGCAACTTTTTTGTTACTTTAAAGATAATTTTCTTTCCCCTGTTGTCATGATCTGGCCTGTTTGCTCTCCCTTAATTAGTAATTCCTCTCACCTGCCCTCTTCCTTCCCTGCCTCAATTATAATTTATTCCTCTCACCTGTTTCCTCTGGTTTATATTCAGTTTAGCCTGAGCATTCAGTGCCAGATCATTACTTGTCTTTTTGTTAGTCTGTCTGTTCAGTTTTTGCCTGGGTTCATGTCTTGGATCCTGGCAGCCAGTGGAAAGAGGGTTTTAGTGTTTGTCTCGTCTCCTGATCGTCCACTGTTCCTCCCCCGCGGAGTCCACTGGGTTTTTGGCTCAATATGTGGGGAGGTTCAGTTTTTATCAAAGTAAGCCTGGCTCCAGGGAGGAGACCAGTTTAAAGTCCTGCATCTATTTCTGTTTCCACGTCCTGTCTCGGCTACCCTCTTCCACTGAGCCTGCCTCTCTGTACCTGATCCTGTCTGCTCCTGTGCGTGACCACCTGGTCATGCTTCTGGTCCCAGTCAGACTCTGAACCCTCCTGGGAGCCTGTGGATGCCTGGAAGTCTGGATCCTGCCACCTGTTTCTGTTCCTGCCTGATCTCGATCCTGTCTCTGTCTGTTCCTGTCTGTTCTGGATCCCTGACCAGGATCTGCTTCCAGCATGTCCTCTGGAACTGCAGCACTTGGGGACATTCTAGGACTGGACTGTTAAACCAGAGTGTCTGTGATTGGGCGGTGCCCCGCTCCCCTTCCTGCAGTGTCCGCGAGCCACAGCTCCGCTTTTGTTTTGTTTGTTTACTTAATAAACGTTTTGAACTTTCCTACTGACTGTCTCTCCTTGAATACTGGGTCCCTCTGTCCTCAGTTCATGACACCTGTATCCAGACATATAGTCAACTGGTTTAAGATATTAAAACACAAAAAAATAAACAAACATTAAACAACTAATATCTAAACCAGTCTAAATGGTTAGTTGTTTAATGTTTACATCAATAAAAAACATTACAGCTGATCAATTCATTGGTGGAAAGTAATCAACATCCTGTGATAGATGAAAGTTTTCATGAGAAAAGAAAAATACATTTCAAAGTAAACTTAAAACTGATGATTTTTAATGGTTCTATAATGGGCGATGGAGCTGTGTTTGACTGTGTCAGGAATTCAGGGCATCCCTCCTTCTCAGCAGAATCCTCTGCAGCTCCTCATCTGGGTTCACAGAAGGCGGCACAGCTTTCGGTGGAGGCCGAGCTTTGTTGAAGTTCTCCTGGACGGGTCAATAAATCACATGACTGCAGGGAAATGACTATGAATGTCCAAAATATAAATGCAACGTTTAATTTCTCAATTTAATTAACTGCACCTTTTCAACCTAAAAAACATTTCTGCATTTATTATTTACTGTATATATGTACATCCAACAAGTTAACTGACCAATTAATTGTTTCCACTTTGAACTTTACATAAATATAAAAACTGAATTATCTTCCATATGCGTTTATCTTTCATATTCCCATATATGAGGATTTGTTTTTATCAACTTCTTTCTTAAATAAAATGTATGCAAATATTTATTTGTTCAAATATTTTTTATAGCTAAAATAAAGAATAAAAGCAGGGTTTAAGCAGTAAAACACAGCTTCAAAGTCCCATTACCATGATTCCTTTAAGTTCTTGAATGGCAGAATTAGAGGGCAGCCTCTCCATCTGATAAAAGGAAAATAGGAGGAGAAAATGGCTTTGGTAAATAAACAACGGCCCTGACACATTATGCTTATTTTACCTCATTCAGCACTTAAATGATAAATTGCTTCTCTCACCACAAAGATGAAACATTGTACTCTAGAATAAAGATGTATGGTTTCTACAAGAAGCAAATGTGTTAACACATAAGCATTTCGAGTCATGACCATTTTTCCATCCTCATTATTTCTAATGACCTCGCAGAGCAGCCGCTAATGCTATCTAATTTGACAGAGTTGTTAAGGAGGACTGAAAGAAGTCCTGACCGTACAGCATCTTTAAACAAAACAAGAAGCTCTTAGATAATCCTGAACACTGATGGATTTGAGAGCACTGAACAATATATGCTCACACACACACAAACACACATCTGTGTCACGCTATCCTTCTGAGGACTTTCCTTTTGACTTCTATTCATATGGGATTTATTTCTACGACCTAACGCTAACCGTTACCAACAGACTTGACCCTCACCTGAACTCAATTAACACCTTAGCCTTAAAGCTAGCCCTCACCGCCAAGAGGAGAACTTTTCTTCACCAGTCGTTGGTCCCCACAAGTACCTATAGTATAACTCCAACACACCCCCACCCCCATCCCTAAACACACATGTGAAAAACTGGCCCCAGAACACTGCTGCTGGTGGTTTACTTCAAGGATTTTAGCAGCAAAGACACATTTTCCATTTTCCTGGTGATTAGTGGTTAATATATTCTGCATTTAGGGCTGCTTCTCTCCTTCTTCTCAAACTCTGCCAATGATGTTGTCTTTGGTGTGAAGCAAAAGTACTTTTGAGGCTTTTTTCAAAGATGGAGAATAAGGAAAATATCAGGCAACTGTCCACTAAATTCACACGTTTGAATATTAGTGCATTAAAACTTGTTTTGAATGTTTGCTATTTAAATGCACAAAAGCTAGAACTAAATTACTTTATTTTGGTTATTAATATTTAATTATCAATAAAGTATGCAAAGTTTGTTAACTTAGAGGTCATAGCTACAACGCTTTAATCAAAATGATTGAAAAGAAAATAAATATTGTATTGTTTGGACTATTTTAATTGATGATGTGTAAGTCAGTTAACGCTAATAATACCTGTACGACAGAGTATTAGGGCCACACATGAAAAGAAATTTTTTTTTGCCATGACGAGATTAAACTCGACATGTCGACTTTAAAGTCGACATGTCGACATTAAACTCAACATTTCGAGAATAAAGTTGAAATGTCATGTTGAGTTTAATCTCGACGTGTCGACAATAAAGTTGAAATTAGTTCAAGAGAGCCAACCACTGCACAGGATACATGCACAGAATCCAGAATCAGACATGCCTTGTGTAGATGATTTGGTCAAATTGTACTTTCTGTGATGATTATACAGTTATACAGTTGCAGCACGTCAAAGACTACCTTCACTCTTAAAACGCAGACTGCAGCTGTGGAGCGCGGTTGCTCTTTTCTCCAAACTTTGGAATGTCGAGATTAAAGTCGCCACGATATTTCAACTTTATTCTCGAAATGGCGAGTTTAAAGTCGACACGTTGAGATTAAACTCAACAAGACATTTCAACTTTATTCTCGAAATGGCGAGTTTAAAGTCGACATGTCGAGTTTAATCTCGTCATGGCAAAAATATTTTTTCTCTTCATGTGTGGCCCTAATACTCCGTCGTATACCTGCCTGTTGCATGGCAGAACTAATATTTTTTAAAGTGCTGTCATGATCTTAGCACTGATGACTGGTCTGATTACTCATTTCATTCACCTGCTTAGCTTCACCCAGTTCTCATTACTGCTCATCTGATCTTCCTGCTTCATCCTTTATTTAACCAGCCTTCAGACCAGTCATCAGGGACAGATTGTTTTCCAACCTGTGGTGAGAAGTTTTCTAGCAATCCTGTATTTCTGATTGACTGATCCTGACCCATACTGCCTCTGAGCCTCCTGGTTTCCATTATGATCTGTTTGACTGACCTGTCTTCCGACTTGTGCTGGATCCCTTCCTGTATATGACCTGAACTTAGAATTCTCCCTTGATACCTCACCGTATCTCTGATCTCCTGGCTCTGACTCCCAAGCACATCTTCGACACCGACTTTGGCTTCGCCCTCTGGATTATCCTGCCAAAATTCATCTGCTTGGTTCTGATCTCCTGTAGGTCCTCTGACCTCCAGGACTTCAGCACCTGGGCTGGAATCGACCTCATCATCTGGGCTCGGACTGAACTGTAAGCTTTTTCAATTCAAAATTAATTTTGAATTGAAAAAGCTTCTTGGATGGGGAATGAAACATCTTCAAACTTTGAAAACAGGGAAAACTCTGACATTCTGCACAATGTTTTTCTCCCGTGTTTCTCCTAGGTTCAGTTCCTGAATTCCACGCCTGTTATTTCTGGAGTTATGTTTTTATACCATCTACTTCACCATTAAAACTGCAGCAACCATCTCTGCCTTCCAGATCCTTTCAGTGGGATCAGCTGGGAAATAAATAGGATGTTTTGTCTTTTCAACCTCCCTGTGTTTGTCTCTGGATTTAAGTGCTCTCATTGGCTATCAGCCACAGCTACTAAGAAAATAGATCAATGATAATCTTCTAGCCTAATTTAAATTGCCTCACCTTTGGTTCATTCCTGTTTGGGGACTGGTTGACTGGTCGAAGTTGAATTCCTCTCTTTATTCTCTGCATCATCTCCTCTACAGCCTGGTGCCGGATGTCTTCTAGGCAGGGAAATATCAGATTACACCAAAACTTTTAACAACATAAAAGATGTAAGATAATCTATAAACCTGATAAGATATGATCTTCAGATTAATGACCAAACTGAGCGCCATGCTCTTAAAATGGAAGTGCTAAAGGACTTTAATACAGAAAACTATGGAAACTAGAAAACTTAGCAAAACTCAGCCACAAAGAGTTTAATGTTGCAGAAATTATTTACAATTTTGTGGGGAGGGTGATGTAAAGCAACTGTTACGATAATTATTATTGATGATGTGTGAGTTTATTGCACAATAATATAACCTGCCTGTTGCGTGTCAGAACTGATAACAGTAGTTTATCTAATTAAGATAGTTTCTCTGTCTGGATATACAGTTATAATCTTCATTCTATACGTGGCAAAGATTTGGGAATGGGATGAGAGTGGCATCAGCTAAGAACAAAGTGGATGTCTAATTATCTGCTAACATCTATGACATAATGATGTGATGATGTGGCAGACTGGAGAAGTATAAAATGCTTCTCTAACTGTGAATCGGTGCCACTCCAGCGACAGCTGAGCGCGGTTGGTAAGCAGCTACCTTCTGTAACTCTAAGCAACTTCTCTGATCTATGAAGATTATAATTTCTATCAAAATCTGTTGTCATGTCTCCTGGTTATTCCATGCATATACATTATAAAAACTTATTTAAAGAGTTTTTCCCAAGTGATCTCTTCTCATGAAAAAGGAAGCGGAGAGAGAAAGCTCCAAAGTGTAGAGACAGCTTTCCTTTAACACACGCAGTAAAAATGAGTGGCATTTGTCCTTCATAAGGATCCTAATTGATCCATATTTTTTATTTTCACATCTGCTTACCCTAGTTAGTAACTAGAGTCAGTAATATTCTATTTCTAAAGCACCTTTAACAGAAATCGAAATGACAGAATTCCTCACGAGCAAAGACATCCATAAACTCAGAAACACAGACATGCTTTAGTTCATGTGTGTCTAATTAAAGATGTTTCTTGAAATGACTAGATGCTGTGCAACTCAGAGACAGCAGGAGAGCACTTCCTGCAGAGCATGTCCTGAAAAGACAGAAGCAAACCTCAACCAATCCAATCTTTTCAAATTTTCTAGATCTCAATATTTGGATGCTTTATAAATCAGGCGTTTAGCCACATGTAATGTCAGACGTGTGAAAAACTCAATAGTTTCGCCAGACTCAGAAGCAATATCTCAGACTAAAAACTCAACATCTTGTATTAAAACATCAAATATTTTGAGCCCCTATAAATACTGTTGGGTTCACTCATTTGCAATATGAGCTTCAATAAGTGTCGATTACAAATAACTCGTCAGAATACTTTTAACCAACCCCTAATTTAACCACCCAAAATAAATTTTCCCTTTGATATAATATTCTAAGCCTTAATGTTGGTTATTCATTAGCTGTAAGCAAATATTTCACATCATTTACAGGAACAAAGGCTTGAGAACATAAACTCTGTGTTTATTTAATCAACATCATGTACTTCACCTAATGATTCCATTCCATTTTCCATCACACTTATTCCTGCTGGGGTGGCGAGGGGTGCTGGTGCCTATCTCCAGCTGTCTAGGGGTGAGAGGCGGGGTTCACTCCAGTCCATCGCAGGGCAACACAGAGGCAAACAGGACAAATGGAGAATTTAGAGAAGCCAATTAACCTAAAAGTCGTGTTTTTGGACCGTTGGAGGAAGCCTGAGTACCCAGAGAGAACCCACGCATGCTCAGGGAGAACATGCAACCTCCATGCAGAAAGAACCCGGGCCGGGAATCGAACCCGGAACCTTCTTGTTGCAAGGCACTACAGCTAGTCATCCAGGTCATAGTGATTCCAAAAAAGGAAATTAAAAAATAATCTACTGGACTTTGTTTCCAAGTTTGAAGACGTTCAACTTCCCATCCAGGAAGCTTTTTCCATTCAAAATGTCAGAAATAACGTTGAGTTCAAGGTTTTATTCAGTAGCCCAACAAAGTCTTGTTTTTGTTTTGAAAACATGTAAATTGAATCCGAAGGACGGGTCTGCCCCTTTGGAATGGGGGTCGTTTGGCCAACAATTCCCTTTAATGACCTCCATTTCAGACCCTTAAACGGGTATGGGGCATTGCAGGGGAACAAAGAAGAACGAGCCCCATATTCGTCCATTTCATTTTTCATGTTTTTTAAAACAAAAACAAGGCTTAGTTGGGCTGTTGTATAAAACCTCAAACTCAACGCTATTTCTGACATTTTCAATTGAGAAAGCTTTCTGGATGGGATGCTAAATGTCTTCAAACCTAGAAACAAAGTGCAGTGGATTGTTTTTTATTTTCTTCTTTTGGAATGCCTACTTATGTCACGGTCTTGGTTCTGTTAAGTTTTCTTTTGAGTATTCAGTTTTACTTTGGTCAATGTTTTCTGGTTTTATTGATTTAATTCCTATTTTGTTTTGTTTTCTGGGTCAATTTGAGTTCTTAGGTTTTTCTTTGTTGCCCTCTTGTGTTGGTTTCCTTTTCCATAGCTCCCTTCTAGAATCCTCTGTTCACACCTGCTCCCAATCTGTTCATTAGTCCTGTCTCTGTTCTGTCTCCTATATACAGGTGCTGGTCATAAAATTAGAATATCATGAAAAAGTAGATTGATTTCAGTAATTCCATTTAAAAAGTGAAACTTGTATATTATATTCATACATTACATACAAACTCATATGTTTCAGATGTTTATTTTGTTTAATTTTGATGATTACAAATGACAACAAATGAAAATCTCAAATTCATCATATCAGAAAATTAGAATATTGTGAAAAGGTTCAAAATTGATGGCCCCTGGTGCCACACTCTAATCAGCTAATTAACTCAAACCACCTGCAAAAGCCTTTAAATGGTCTTTCAGTCTAGTTCTATAGGCTACACAATCATGGGGAAGACTGCTGACTTGACAGTTGTCCAAAAGACGACCATCGACACCTTGCACAAGGAGGGCAAGACACAAAAGGTCATCGCTAAAGAGGCTGGCTGTTCACAGAGCTCAGTGTCCAAGCACATTAATAGAGAGGCGAAGGGAAGGAAAAGATGTGGTCGAAAAAAGTGTACAAGCAAGAGAGATAACCGCACCCTGGAGAGGATTGTGAAACAAAACCCATTCAAAAATGTGGGGGAGATTCACAAAGAGTGGACTGCAGCTGGAGTGAGTGCTTCAAGAACCACCACACACAGACGTATGAAAGACATGGGTTTCTGCTGTCGCATTCCTTGTGTCAAGCCACTCTTGAACCACAGACAGCGTCAGAAGCGTCTTGCCTGGGCTAAAGAGAAACAGGACTGGACTGCTGGTGAGTGGTCCAAAGTCATGTTCTCTGATGAAAGTAAATTTTGCATTTCCTTTGGAAATCAAGGTCCCAGAGTCTGGAGGAAAAGAAGAGAGGCACTTCATCCACGTTGCTTGAAGTCCAGTGTAAAGTTTCCACAGTCAGTGATGGTTTGGGGTGCCATGTCATCTGCTGGTGTTGGTCCATTGTGTTTTCTGAGGTCCAGGGTCAACGCAGCCACATACCAGGAAGTTTTAGAGCACTTCATGCTTCCTGCAGCTGACCAACTTTTTGGAGATGCAGATTTCATTTTCCAACAGGACTTGGCACCTGCACACAGTGCCAAAGCTACCAGTACCTGGTTGAAGGACCATGGTATCCCTGTTCTTAATTGGCCAGCAAACTCTCCTGACCTTAACCCCATAGAAAATCTATGGGGTATTGTGAAGAAGATGCAATACACCAGACCCAACAATTCAGAAGAGCTAAAAGCCACTATTAGAGCAACCTGGGCTATCATAACACCTGAGCAGTGCCACAGACTGATCGACTCCATGCCACGCCGCATTGCTGCAGTAATACGGGCCAAAGGAGGCCCAACTAAATACTGAGTGCTGTACATGCTCATACTTTTCATGTTCATACTTTTCAGTTGGCCAACATTTCTATAAATCCTTTGTTTTTATTGGTCTTCAGTAATATTCTAATTTTCTGATATGATGAATTTGAGATTTTCATTTGTTGTCATTTGTAATCATCAAAATTAAACAAAATAAACATCTGAAATATATGAGTTTGTATGTAATGTATGAATATAATATACAAGTTTCACTTTTTAAATGGAATTACTGAAATCAATCTACTTTTTCATGATATTCTAATTTTATGACCAGCACCTGTACAGTATACTGTCCCTGTGCAGTTCCTCAGTGCTGGTTCCTCGTCTTCCTGGCTCATAGTGTAAGTTTTCCCTGATGTCTCCTAGGTTCTGTTTTTTCTGTATTTTGTTATGTTGGACTTTTTGCCTCAGTTGCCTGTGATTACTCATTTAAATCTTTAAGAACACCACTCTGCCTCCTCGCCTCTGCATTTGGGTCCTGAAAACCTCAACTCAAAACTGACAACTTAATAAATAAAGTTCTTGAAATGAAGGAATTTTTTATATTTGTACTCATTTGAATTGGAAAAACATGTTTGCAGTACCCAGCGCTGTGCTGAACCGTATGTATGGAGTTTCAATTCAGTTCAGTTTTTTTCTATAGCTCCAGTTCACATCATGTCATCTCAGGTCAATTTGCAGAGACTATTCAACCAGATCATCCAGTCAGATTGATTCAAAGTTTTCTATCTAAGGAAAACCAGTTGATTGCATCGACTCATTGACTCTTCCGCAATCCCTCACAGTTAAAAAACCTTTCATTTAAACTTCTGACATGTTTAAAAAAGGTTTGTTTTGAGTCTAGCAGCTCTGAGCTATTAACTTTTTTATTATTGTGATGCTGAACCTTACTGTTATCATGAAAATAATTGTAGTAGTTGCTACGACAACTTATTTAGCAACAATCACATTTTGTGCGTCTGTTATTAGGATGTTTGAGGTTAGCAAAAATAGCTAAAAACATCTCTCTCTATCGAAGCATTCACTATTTTGCAATTTGCTGTGCAAAGTTTTTCAAGGAGACGTCCAAAGGGGATGACAGCAAATCATTTAATCCAGCAGAAAATGCTGCCCATTTGCAAAAAATAAGGATGTAAATCCCCAATGTTCCAAAATGAAGCATTCAGCGGTCTTCACAATAGGACTTTTTTTTTTACAAAAAAGTCTTTTAAAATGTTACATAAAAACTAGATTGTGTTAAAGTAATTGCAAAATATTTTCCTTCAGTGCTTAAAATGAAGCTATTATTCAGGAGTCAGAGTAGAAGATCCTTGGGTGGTACCTATTCAATCGTCTATGTAATTTTAAAATACTGTGTGCATGGTGCTCAATTCAGCCCTCACAATTTCAATCACCAAGTCCACAAAATGAGGACGGAGCTTCACCTCTTTAGTCAACATGACATCTAACCTGCTTGGACAAGTCAAGGCTTCAATTTAAATTCACAAATTAAAGAATTTGAAATGCTAAGCATGGAGGTCAAAGATGCAGAGTTGGAGAAAGATGGCGTCATAAACCTTTTAAAAACACACATTTGTCCTAATCTTTTTCTTTGTTTTAATAGAGCAAGGGTCTAAATGAAGAATATCTAATATTAAAACCAGTTCTGCTGAACACAATGCAACACAGAGATAAATGAGCCTGTGATTTGAATAAAAAAATCTCTGAATATGAAGTGGGCATCTGGGTAGTTATGAAACACCTGAAGGAGGTTTAGGGATTTCAAAAGAAGGAAAACAGAGAATGAATAATAAAATCCGACTGAATGATTCATCTGTGCCGCTAAAAGCTCACTGAATGGAGCAGAAGCACACAGGTCTCATTTTAGATCTGAAAGCAGAAAAATGTACATTTCATCATGCTGGTGAAGATTCTCACTCATCCAGGACATAGTCATTCAAAAAAAAGAAAATTAAAAACAATCCACTGGACTTTGTTGCAAGTTTCAAGTTCAAACTTGGAAACAAAGTCCATTGAATTTTTTTTATTTTCTTTTTTTGGAATAAATTTTATCATCATTCTGGACTTTTTGATTATTTCCAGCGAGATACGTTTTTGTTTTTACCCAGTTTTTGAAAACTTTAGGGATCTTTTATATAGAGGGACTGTTGATATTGTTAAAATCCCCAAGTTGGATGTCTTTGTTCTTGCATCCAGTTAACACCTTGCTGTGTTTTAGGCTCCGCCTTTGAGACTGGCTGCTGCTTCCACTTTTCTTTTTTCTTTAGGGTTGTTTTGTTTGTTGTTTTGGCCTGGGCTCTCCCTGAAGCTTATACCATAATTTATTCACAAGAAATTGCAGAATAAAACCTTTAAATGCCCCTTTGACTCCTTCGTTCACTGTCTAAATTTATTTTGATTTTGTTTGATTTTGTTTCCTTACGCCCCCTAGACTCAGCCAGGGGACGCAACATAAATTGGGGGCTCGTCCAAGATAAGTGTGAAGAAATATGGCAGCACATAATTTCAATCTAAGTGCGTTCTTGAAAAATCCTTCTTGGGAGGAGTAAAATGTGTGTAGAAAACAAGATTTGTTTTCTATAGCAGTACATTTTGAGTTGAATGTCACACAACAAATGGTGAAAAAATAGATAAAGTTTGTTGTTTCAAACAAATTGGTGGAAGAAGAATTGCTTTCTGTTTCTGATTCACCTTGTTTGAAAGTCCCTCTTAACAGGACCCCTAATGAGAGATTGATTCCTGCTGTTCTTGAGGAAGAGCAGAAGCCTGCTGCTGAGGATCAACTAAAGGTTGGGAACTTCAGATTTGATGCCTCGCCTTCTGTGGTGAATTCAACTCCTTCTTCTTCAAAACAGGAAGCATGAATTACCGGTAAGGTACGTTTGGCAAGATTGCAAATGGAGGCTCAAGATAAAGCCCAAGCTCGTCAGGCAGAGTTTGAACTCTGTAGGACTCCGTTTTGAAAGGAGAGACAGAAAAAGTTTTGAGGCTGAAAAAGTTGGAGCTGGAGTTGCAGATTGAAAGGGAAGTCAAGCTGCGCCAGCTGGAGTTACCGGCTCAAACTGCCAATATTCAGTCCAGTTCTGTATTTTCATCTGCTGTTGGTGGAACAACTGGCTCTCCTGAAAAGCCAGGTTCTTTTGATGTGAGCGAAAACATTGTACTGGTACCTCCATTTCGTGAATCTGAAGTTTATTTACATATTTCATTGTTTTTGAATGTGTTGCAGCTTCATTGCACTGGCGGAGGGAGGCTTGGCCTTTATTGTTACAGTGTAAGTTGGTAGGAAAAGCTCAAGAAGTCTGTTCTGCTTTATCTCTGGAAGAAAGTTTAAATTATGATGTAGTAATGTCTGCTATCCTTGCTGCATATGAACCTGTTCCAGAAGCATATAGACAATGCTTCCGTAACCACAAAAGAGCAGCAAATCAGACTTTTGTTTGTGAAAAAGCAACTCTTTTTGACAAATGGATTTCAGCAAGTAAAGTTACGTAACAATATAGAGAACCCGTTTATATTAGATTGACTGTTTAGATAGAGTGACCATTTATATAGAGGGACTGTTTGTATAGAGCACAGGTGTCAAACTGGTTCCAGAAAGCGCCGTGTGGCTGCAGGTTTTCTTTCCAACCAAGCAATAGCACACCAAACTCCAGCCATCTCATCAAGTGAGTCCAATCTGAACATGATGACTTGATGAGATGACTGGAGTCTGGTGTGCCATTGCTTGGTTGGAAAGAAGACCTGCAGCCACACGGCCCTTTCTGGAACTAGTTTGACACCCCTGGTATAGAGGGGCCGTTTATATTAGAGGAACCCTTTATATTAGAGTGACCATTACATCAAAGGGACCATTTAAATCGAGGGACCGTTTGTTTTAGAAGGACTGTTTATATGCAATGCGAACAGGCCTCGGCGTTGCTTTATGATGTAATCCAGGGATGGGCAATTCCAGTTCCTGAGGGTCGGTATCCTGCAACTTTCAGATGTGCCATTGGTCCAACATACCTGAATGAAGTAATTGGATGATTGAGAGGACTCTGGAGGAACTGACTGCATACTGAGGAGGGAACTCAGCCATTTGATTCAGGTGTGTTGGACCAAGGTTGGATCCAAAGGTTGCAGGATACCGGCCCCCAGGAAAGCAAATTTCCCAATCCTGACATAATCGGCTGATGAATCTAACCTTTGGAGGACGCAGCCACTGGATTCAAGCACAGCCACCATTTATATAGAGGGACCCCTTAGTTCTGAGAATAAACAAAGTTGGGGCTCTTTCATAAATTGCTAAATTTGATTAAATATTTAGCCAAGTAATAATTAACGTCATGGATTTTCATTGAGAAAAACATTTAAATCTTTTAATTCAAAGCTATATATATATATATATATATATATAGCTTTCGTGCTAGTCGCTTCTGTGGCACAAAGGGGGTCAGACAAATGTCAAAATATTGAGACACAGGAAAAGCAATTCATAGTCATTTGTTCACAGTGTTTACCTGAAGTCTTTACTGAGTGCTGCTCCACCAGCGGAACGTCATTACTGATGTTTCTTCTCTTTCGAATCAATGCCAGCAATGAGCTATAAGAAAAAGAAAAAAAACCTCATAATTCTTTTTAATATTTGTGTTTGTCTAGAAACATCCACAGAACACACATCATACAGAGTACAGTGTTGCGTCATCTAAGCAGGGGCTCAAAGATGTAAATTCGATAGAACTCAAAAATACTTTATTTATTCCAGAGAGTAATTAAATGGGGCTGCTCAGTAGGGCCGTGGGAAGCACTGCTGCCTTGCAGCAAGAAGGTTCTGGGTTTGATTCCCGGCCCGGGATCCTTCTGCATTGGGTTAGCATGTTCTCCCTGTGCGGGTGTCGGTTCTCTCCGGGTACTCTGGCTTCCTCCCACAGTCCAAAAACATGACTGTTAGATTAAATTGGCTTCTTTCAATCCTCTTTAGGTGTGAGTGTGCGCGTGAATGGTTGTTTATCCTGTTTGTCTCAGTGTGTCCCTGTGATGGACTGGCGGGAATCCTGCCTCTTGCACGTAGAGACCACCCCTCACAACCCCACTTGGGATAAGTGTGACAGAAAATGGATGGACGGAAATGAAATGTTGCTGTAACTCATACGTTGCTTTTAGACAGGTGTTGTAGGTGTTGATGCAGCAGGCAGGAAGGATCTCATGTAGAGGTCTGTCCTGCCTGATCTGGAGAATCCTCTGACTGAAGACACTCTGTTGTTTAACAGTCTGATGAAGAGGATGCTCACTGTTGTCCATCTTCTTTTTATTCTCTATGAAATCATCTCCAGAGGTTCTAGAGGAGTTCCTAGAACAGACTGGCCTTCTTTATCAGCTGGTTGAGCTTCTTTCCGTCATTAGCTCTGATGCTGTTACACCAGCAGATGATGGAGGAAGAGATCAGACTCTGCACAGTAGACTGATAGAAGATCTGCAGCATCCGAAGGACCTACAGTAGAAGCCATTGAAAATGCCCTTCCCAGTCAAACGCCAGCCGAATGGCAGCCCACTTCACTCTAAATCCCAGTGAAATCCCCTCCAACTTCCAGCCACTGGAGTGACCCCCTCTTGCATATTTTTTTTACCCTGACTCCAGCATTTCACTGAATTACAGGGTCTAACCAGGAGGTGATGCTTCTCTTTAGATCATAATGGCCATAAATCATGACTGAAAGAATATTTTAGTCCAAAGATTGATCTTTAAAAAGGATTATTAGGGGACCAGCCAAGGAAAGTGGGACATTTTAAATGGCTACTACTATAGGCTTCTTTAGGAAGTACAAAGTAAAGGTGGATTAAGTAGCCATTGAGATAAAGCTTTTATTATTAGTTTCCATAGGTTGAGGTAAGGAATGTTCTTTTAAAAAACTCTTTTAATAATCAGCACTTTAAAAAGACTTAAATCAATCATCCTCCTCCTGTAGCTTTAGAGTGCGTACCGGTCAGCAACCTATGCCTGACTCGGCTCCTCTTGGCCTCTAGTTGGCAGCTGCTTCTATCTGAACTCTTTAGCTTTGTGCGCAAAATGTCATAAAAGCAGGATAAGAGTCTCACATCCTGGTCAGACAGAGGTACATTGGGAAGTGTTCCGAGTGATCCAAGACAGAGAACATCTGGAGGATCTGTTGAACCCGGGATGCTGTTTGGCATTCACATAGCCACAGGACTTTCCCCCAAAAAATTCCGGTCTGCTTCTCCTATTTGTGACACGGTGAGGCCAGAGAAGTGTTATCCACACCAATAGTTGAAAAAAAATGGGATCAGACATGTCTGCTCTGCCCCCTATCACCCCGCCTCAAATGGACCAGCTGAGCGAGCTGTGGAAACGCTGAAAGATGGAGACATTCTCTAGAAAGTAAGCTCTCTCGCTTCCTTTTCCTGTACCGGATCCCTCCCGACACCACAACAGGGGTACCTCCAGCAGAGATGCCTTTGGGGAGGAGGCCAAAGTCACACCTCGATCTCCTTCATCCAGACATCGCAGAGAGAGTGGTCCAGGGGCAGGACACATATAAGCTGAGGCGGGATCAGCACAAACAAGACAGACTCTTACAGCCAGGTGATCATGTGTATGTTATGAATTTTGCTAGTGGTCTGACATGGCTGCCAGGAGTTATTCAACACCAATCAGGGCCAGTGTCCTTTGTTGTGGATCTGGTGAACGGCAGCCGGGTGCGCAGGCACCAGGATCACCCTACGTGAGCGCCATGATACAGGATGGGAGGGGTGTCAACGTGGGGCACATAATAACAGTGCATTCAGCCCCGCCAGCTCAAGAAGAAGGCCAAGTCACACCTGAAGAGCCAGCAGCCCCGGGTACTCCGTTGGCCCTCAGGCCGACCCAGCTCGGGAAGCACCAGAACCGAGGAGATCAATGAGGCCACATAGGCCTCCAGACAGACTGACCTGGTAACACCTTATGTTAATTAAAAAGAAAGTAGAGCACTTTGGTTTCATTAGACTGTTCTTTACTGGAGGCATCCATGTTTGTCAAAGAACACTACTGCTACCTACTGGTTTGTGACGTCACGGTGCGGTATCGGCTGTTGATCAAGTCCCAGTGCTGTATCTGGTGTTTGTCACAATGCGCTATTATCCAAGTCATCTTGAAAACATTCTTCTTCCAAATGTTGGCTACATATTACGTGTTTTTTCTCTGGCCAGAAGTTCAATGGCAAATCCTCCCTCTTCAAGTTGGCAATCCAACGATGAAAACCGTCCGTGGAGGATCAGGAATCGCAAAGGTGAAATAACTTTTTTTTTTTCTCTTTTACCCAATGTATTCCAACATCCAGCTGCCATGCACGTGGGCATTGTCAGTTTCACTCAGTGTATTCTCATTATGAGTTCGTATGAAATCGTACGAAAAGTTATGCCTCGTAATTTCCTACGTTTTTTGACGTGTTTTTGGTCGTATTTCGTCGTATTTTTACGTCTTGCCCCGAGACAAGATATACATGTGCATGCGCATCTTACGCACCCTTCAATAACATCGTATTTAAGATACAACTAACCCTAACCCTGACCCTAAGATACAAAACAACAAGCAACGTAGTTAGAGACATGAAGAAGTAATTATTGCACTGTTTTTCCCAGTTTTACATCCGCCCGTGGATCTGCTTTTTTCGTCTGTCTGTCTGCGCATGCGCACTGATGTGTTTTTTCGAGGAAAAACGTCAAAAACGTACGAAATACTATGCATAACTTTTTGTACGATTTCATACGAATTGATAATGAGAATATGTTGTTTCACTATAGCTCTGGTGAATTTCAATGGTGAAGTCCTCTGGAAATCTTCAATAATTGTTGTTGATTGCAGATGTGTCTAGTAGTTCCCATTGATTCTGCTTGTAAAGCGGGGAGAATGGCGCTAGGCTTACCGCACCGTGACGTCACTGCTGGAAGATGGCAGGAGGGAGGGGTTACTATACTTGGGCAAAAATGGCTGCTCCCAGACTCGGTGATCGCAACGAAAATTATTATTTTTACTTTTTTACTGATTAACGCTAAATTCATTCAATCACTGCAAACGCATTAGTTTAGGTATAAATAATGATCCATTGATTATTCCGGGCTGACTGAACTTTTTCTTTAAACTTCTTTGTTTCTGGCCAGGAGCTGTTATCCTCTACCTTGATCTCCCAACTAAAAAGGAGAACTAATTAGCATTAAAATTAGACTTCTTTTCTCCCCTTAAATGCTTTTTTTGAGTTTGGTCCGTTAGCTCGGTTCATTATAACTCTTAATAGGACTTTTTAAATTGTCCTGATAGGCTGAGTATCACTGGAATGCGCTGGAATAAACCTTTGTTACAATGGTATTTAAAATAAACATCTTCAGATTCAGAATTTAAACATGATGGAATATGATCTGCTTCATTTAAATATTTCATTGTAAATGAATTGGACTCACATTTTAATTACCTGTATTTCAATATTTAACAGATTCCTAAAAAAAGTTCAATGAAGACATGAGCAAGGTCACTGCTCTGACCTGAGGGGGTTAGAAGGCGCCTCTGGGGCTGATGGAGGTAAGGGTGGAGGTGGAGGTGGCGGTGCTAGAGGAGGGTTAGTCACGGCTTGCAGCTTCTTCTGGAGTGTCTCCACTGGGCAACAAAACACACAGAAAAACAGCAGCTGGAGGATTAAACACAGAATAAAGATAATCTTTTTAACCTAAATAACAATTAAATTATTATTTAAGTTAAATAATATTTCAATTATTTACATCTGTTTATGTTTTATAGAGAAAAGATCATGTTCAAACACTGCAAAAATTATCTAGAAATATGTCAACATTTCTCAAATTAAGGGTATTTACCATTAATTTGAGCATGTATTTTTGCAGTGAGATTATACGTTTATCACAGTGTTGCGGTCTCTTCTTTGCAGATGCTGCAAATATTATTACAGTACACCCTCATCACTCTAAAAACTAAAAAAATTAAGTATTTTTTAAAAAGTTGTAATTTCCCTCGATTAGATCTCATACAGAATCATCGGCCGAGGGGTGTAGATTTTTGTGATCGGCTGAAATGATGGTGTACTGTCATTGGTTGCAAATCACAGCTAGTCATGGGAAGTCCACACAGAAATGTTCAGAAAGCACTGGTAGTTATGACATTAAGATGTAATTATGGATTCATCACATATCTTGTCAATTTAAATTTCATGTTCTTGTTTGAACCACTATGTGAATGTTTGGATCACATAGATGAGCTGGTTAACCCTTTATAGGCAAGTAACCATTTTTGATCAGTTGCATGACCCTGATTAATGTAGCACCCCCCTCCCCTTCAACCACCCACCTACTCCACCCCCATATTCAGCCAGACTGTAGATATAATTTTATATATATTGTAAGAAATAGGGTTCTATCAAACTGGTCCTATAGTCACTCTATTACAGATTGTTACAGAGTGTTTTTCATGAATTTCTTATAGTAGCCCTTTCTTGTTATTACATTGACCTTCATATTTGCCATGAAAATGTAAATGTTTCTTGAATGTTAAACAGCAAATAAGGTCTTGTCCTGGACTCCAATAATACTCCTGGCTTGAAATGTAGATCTTCTAAGTATTTCACTGAGTAACGGGTTTGTCTACTTTTTTCTGTATCTCTGCTTCTGTCTCCTTGAACCCCAGTCGGCCTCAGCAGATGGCCGCTCACACTGAGCCTGATTCTGCTGGAGGCTTCTTCCTGTTATAAAATAGTTTTTCCTCTCCACTGTTGCTACAAGCATGCTTAGTGTGAGGGATTGCCTTTGAGTCAATGAGTCGATGCAATCAACTGGTTTTCCTAAGACAGAAAACTTTGAATCAATTTAATTGCATGATCTGGTTGAGTTGTCTCTGTAAAGTGCCTTGAGATGACATGATGTGAATTGGCGCTATATAAATAAATGGAATTGAATTGAAGGACTAATATTCAAACTGTTCTAGCTCCATAAATAGCTAGCTATTTCATTTCAAGAACAATAATTCAGCTCATCTTATCTGAAATGAAATTATTTTAGGAAATCTGCAAGATTTTAGATTCCTTTTTGCAGCAAATATCAGGTCACAATGGTTAGGTGTCCAATCATTTCCTGGTATTCCTGCAGTTTCCCCTAAGGCTCAAACTGGCCTATAGTCGGTATCTTCTGTTGCTTTCTTTGTGTTGAACGCCAGCCTTTGAAAAGCAGTGGAGGCAAAAATCTCACCTGTAATTTTGAGATCCTTGAGTTCTTGTTCAGCCTTGAAGCAGCGGGTGCTGCTCTCCTTTTTCTCCTCCTCCAGGAGAACCAGTTTCTGTCTCAATGCAGTTATTTCCTTCTGAGTCTCACAGTTGTTTAGTTTTTCTTCCATCTGCTTGAGCTGATAAACAAACATAAATAATGTTTATTGTTCGACAAAAGAAAAGTCAAAAAGTACAAAACCAATGCTCCAATGAGGTGACGATAGATTCAACACAATCTTCCTAGTGACATTATTTGCAGCAAGTCTGAATTTCAAGGGAGAAATGGATCATATTATCATTATTATACTTCTTGTTATTTATAACGAGAACAGCCTTCGCAGAGCACAGACCTCCACCAAGTCACTCATTTCCAGACATATCCTGATTTCCACCTTCAGGTAATACCTGTATTCCCAGAACCTTTGAAAACATTCCTGGATTCAAATGGTGATCCGGATCATGACCCAAATGGAATGGATTGTTCCTTGGACTGAGGCAAACCTTTGGTAAAAAGGTTCATTAAATCCGTTCATAACTTTTTGAGTTACCCTGTTCACAGACAGACAGAGAGACTCTCCTAAAAATCAGGACCTGTAATTTAGTTATCAGGCTCCTCTCCTGTGGAACCAACTACCAGTTTTAGTCCGTGAGGCAGACACCCTGTCTACTTTTAAGGCTAGGCTTAAAACTTTCTTTTTTGATAAAGCTTATAGTTAGAGTGGCTCAGGTTATCCTGAGCTATCTCTATAGTTATGCTGCTATAGGCTTAGACTGCTGGAGGACATAGGGACCCCTATTTCATCATTCTGCTTCATTCTATCTCTATTCTCCCACTCTGCAGAATCTGTTAGTTCAATCTCTAACGTTCTGCTCTCTCTGCTTTTTCTCATAGTAGCTTCATCTGGTCTGTTTCTGTTTGGCTGTGACCAGGGGCAGATTTAATAAATTTGGGGCCCTAGGCAAAGACATTCAGGGGGCCCTCTGAATTGAGAAGACAACACATAAAACAGACCCATTATATAGATTGTTAATTTTAAAGGAATAGACATCCATTATTTGTTCTAGCTTTTGTCCCTCTCTTTTTGTCCCTTTTCTTGCTGTTAGGGATAGGTTATCTATGTTTTCTTTTGTCCCTTTTTCTTTTCATATTGGCAATATGCTGTTAGGCTATATTGCAACAATAGAGCCAAATCAATTTGAGGAACCATTTCAAATCATCCCCTTTTCTTTTGAACAAAGAGAACAAATAACATTCTGGAAAACTCCAGCCAAAGGACCAATCAGCTGACAAGAAGGCTGGAACCTCAACAGGAAATACCCCTGCTTGATTCAGGGTTTAAATTCCAGAGTGCGAGATCAATCGATCTCTTCCCCTTTGGTTTTAACATCTGTAGGCCCGTTTTACATGAAATGCTAAAAGAAAGCTAGCTGGAAGAAGCTTTCGTTTTCCTGCATCAAAAGTCACGGATCGCAGTGTACCAGCGTGCATAGCGCCCACTGAACAGGGTGAGACGGGGAGAGGGGCCGAACCGTGTGCCCCCCCCCGCTTCTTTCCTGGACTGAAGGACGTCTCAAAGTAAAACCCTACACTTTTCTATTTCATGCATTAATGAGGTGCTGCGCTCAGGCGAGAGACAGGCAGATAGAAGTTTGAATTAATGCTGATGTTTAATCTGTGCTGGTTATAAGAGCTCTGGTTTAATGGTTGAAATAAGTGTGCTGTGAAAAGCTGCAAGTGATATTTCTTCCTTCCTTTGTTTCTATCATGTTTTCCTTCTCTTTCTGCTTTAAGGTTAGTTTATAGATAACTTGCTAACATTTATCCGTGTGTGGTCACGTGGTTGAGGACCCATTGTTAAAAGTTGCCCCCCCCCCCCCTTTCATCCTATGAAGAGGGAGGTCTCACACACACATATCACCCCCCCCCCACACACACACACAGCCCTGTTTATGCCGCTTTGCTGAACAAACTTCTGCTGCTGTTGTTAATGCATTGAATGTGTTTTATGTTGTTTTAATTGCACTGTTGTTATCATCATACCTGTTGCTATTCCAAACGGTCATTATTGAATGGATTAACATCTGGCCTTTCTTGGACAATCTCAGAAGCCAGTTAAACTGACTCTTAGGATTTTATTCTTTTTCTTTCAAAACTAGTCACTTAGTCTACCTGTTGTTTATTTTCTAATAGCGTGTAGTGATGGCATAGATGTTAGATTTCTGTAATCCTGAATCATTAGAATAAAGACGTCGTTGTTTAACTTGCAATCGTTTTTGATTAATATACGAAGGGTTTATCACTCAGGTCAGATCCACCCTCTTATGGTACTAGTTTGAATAAACAGACAAATAGTTCTTTGATAATTTATAGCTCTGCTGATAACCAAGCCTGGGTCACTAAATTTGTGGCGATACCTGGATTTTAACAGCCGGTCCAGGAACTATCCAGAGGTGAAAGGCATAAACCCTGGTAAGCAAGCAAATTATAGCTACAATTATTCAACTAAGAACACTAAATTGATTTCACCTCCGACTTTGAATAAGTTAAATAATTAAATACAACTCTAGTTCTAGTTAATTATTTATTCATTATCTGCAGGATATAATTTTGTATAACAATGCTAAGCTGACTTTTCATGCTTTCTCGAAAAAGGAATCAAAGATTTTCCAATCACTAAGCTCATTTTAACTTAGCTGATTGCTCCTTCCTGTGTTTCCAAAAAGGCCAAAGTAAATAACCCAGTCCTTCTTTTCACTGTAGACAAGCCATGATCTGCTATCTGTTGTCATCATAAAATAATTTAAAATAATAATTTTCATTGCAATCACTGAGTCTGGGAGCGGCCATTTTTGTCCAAATATAGTAACCCCTCCCTCCTGCCATCTTCCAGCAGTGACGTCACGGTGCGGTAAGCCTAGCGCCATTCTCCCCGCTTTACAAGCTAAATCAATGGGAACTACTAGACACATCTGCAATCAACAACAATTATTGAAGATTTCCAGAGGACTTCACCATTGAAATTCACCAGAGCTATAGTGAAACTGACAATGCCCACGTGCATGGCAGCTGGATGTTGGGATACATCGAGTAAAAGTGATTCTTGATCCTCCTCTTGGTTCGTTGTTGGATTACCAACTTGAAGAGGGAGGATTTGCCATCGAACTTCTGGCCAGAGAAAAAAGCCGTAATATGTAGCCAACATTTGGAAGAAGAATGTTTTCAAGATGACTTGGATAATAGCGCGTTGTGACAAACACCAGATACAGCACTGGGACTTGATCAACAGCCGATACCGCACTGTGACGTCACAAAACCAGTAGGTGGCAGTAGTGTTCTTTGACAAACATGGATGCCTCCAGTAAAGCACATTGAAATGAAAATTACTCTCAATTAAAAACACTTATTTGCAATAATTAATTGTGAATATGACGGACTTTTCCTTTAATACGGGTACCTGACCCGGTGCAGGACTCTGGCTTGAATCTTATCAGATACAGTACAAGGGCCCCAACCCAATCCAACGTCAGACAAAAAAACTTTCAGGGTCTTCTTTTAGCTTTTTTCAAAACTTTCCAGGGCTTCAGGTTCACAAACTTTCCATTCATTGTATCCTGCAAATGTCAGCATCCAAAAATACATGTTTCATTTCATAAACTGGACAGTTTCTGTGGAACATGTCCCCACACCTGGTTGTGATGCTCCAGTCTTTGTCTCTCCATCTCTGCTTTCAGAACAGCCACCTGACTGAGGGCATCTTGCAGAGCTTGGCTGGGCGTGGAGCTCTGCAGCAGGAGCTGACTCTGTCTCTTCAGTTTTTTCTGTTCAACCAGCATCTGAATTAACCAAAAGGCAAAAAATATCAACAGAACATAGATAAGATTCAAGAATGCAACGCTGGAGTTTAGAGAAAAGCTTGGACTCACTTCTCGGGCAAAGCTCTCTGCTTCAGTCCTCAGGTTTTGCTCCAAATCCAAGGTTTGTTGCAAGGCTTCATATTCCTCCACAGCAAACTGAGAAACTGATATATCCAGAGAATGTTTGATTCATTTTTATAAAAATAAAATGAGTAAAATCACAGTAAATGCCATTTCAATGCATCTACAGAGAAGAGGCCACCAACAATTAACTAACAATAATTATATACTTTTCTTTCAAAAGCTGGAGGAAAACAGCATAACTTGAAACCTGTTGGATTTTCATGTCAGATGTTCAGTTTTGCATGTAGAAATACCGGTTTGCTCCGCCTACTGCTCTGATGGTCAGAGTGAAAAAACCCACACTCAGAATCAAATAGGGACCCTAACTCTGAGCTGAAAATGATGATCAGATCCTCCTTTGGATTTTTTTCACTTCAGTGAGGGGATTTTAGAGCATCAATTGTGCATTGAGGACAGGTTCATAGCCTTGATCAGGATGTGATTCTATCAAATCGAAGTTAGAGTGAGGCGGCGGCTAATGGGGAGGACCTGCACCAATCCTTGGAGGCTGGTTTTTTTTCTCTGTGCTCCCTGATGTAATCTGGTGATCTCAGTCGATCAATGGTGTCTTAAAGATGGAGAGTAGAAGAGCAAAGGTGGGAGGAAGCCACAAAGCTCTGGAAACAGATGCTGCTAAATGTACAAAAATTTGCAGCTTTTTAGTAAAATGAGGTCAACATTGGAAACTCTGAAAGACATTGATAGAATGGGAAAGGAAAGATTATGAACTTTGCCTTCACTCCAGGCAACACGTTAATTATCCAGTCATTGCATTTTGTGACGTTTTGGCACATATTTCAATATTATCTCATTTAAAGCATAATGCAACGCTACAATTAGAAGCGCCCTCCTCTCTTCTGCTCCATTCATAGATACTCAAAATAAGATTCTTCCTGATTTAAACTACATTCATAGTGGTCAGAACTATAAATATAGATATCCTAAATTACATGTTTGACTGAAAAAATTTCATGATCTTGGAGCTGATGACTGGCTTAAAGGAATAGTACACCCAAAACATGACTAGCCTTCATTTTCTACTCACCCCCATGCTGAACAACACTCTGGAGTACTTTTTTGATATCTCAAATGCATCTGGAGATCTGGGAGGCTTCTTGCTGTCTGCTGACATTCAAATAATGGAGGTCTATGGCGCCCGAGGCAGAAAGGTCCATAAAAGTCCACAAAAAACGTGTCAATATTCCTCCATACTGCTCGTCCAATGTATTCCAAGTGTCCTGAGTGGGTAGCATCCAGAATTTACTCGAAACAAAGTCATTTAGAATGTTTTTAGAGCATAAACAGTAGTGTATAGGATTTCCTGAAAGCGCGCACATGCGCGCTCACGACGCTACGGAAGCCGGCAGACCAAACCAGACGAAAGTGCGCATTCAGCGTCTGCTCTGCCGATAATGCAAGCGTAGAAGAAGAAATGTGCCGTTTACCTGTGCAAAGAAAGAAACAACGAAAGAAAAATGTCTGAGGACTTCAGTGTTGAGGAAGAGCATGAGTTCTTTGCCGAGCTGAATGCGCACTTTCATCTGGTTTGGTCTGCCGGTTTCCGTAGCGTCGTGAACGTGCGGGCGCGCGCTTTCAGGAAATCCTATACACTACTGTTTATGCTCTAAAAACATTCTAAATGACTTTGTTTCGAGTAAATTATGGATGCTACCCACTCAGGACACTTGAAATACATTGGACGAGCAGTATGGAGGAATATTGACACGTTTTTTGTGGACTTTTATGGACCTTTCTGTCTCGGGCACCATAGACCTCCATTATTTGAATGTCAGCATACAGCAAGAAGCCTCCCAGATCTCCAGATGCATTTGAGATATCAAAAAAGTACTCCAGAGTGATGTTCAGCATGGGGGTGAGTAGAAAATGAAGGCTAGTCATGTTTTGGGTGTACTATTCCTTTAATTACTCATTGGATTCACCTGTCTAACTCCATGTTGTTTCTCAATACCGTTCATCTGATCCACCTGCTCCAGCTTCTATTTAACCAGCCCTCTAACCAGTCATCAGGGCCAGATTATTCTCAAGCTGTTAGTGCGAATTATTCTGGTGATGCGGTATTTTAATTACCTGATCCTAACTAGTTCTTCCTCTCAACCTTTGAGCGTTTCAGTATTACCTGACTGTTTCTGATTTCCTGGTCTGCCTCTCAACCTCTGAGCCTGCCTGTTCCGGTCCGATCTGTTTGCCTGACCTGTCTTCGACTCCTGCTGCATTCTGCCTGTTTGCTGAACTTGGAACTGTTTCCTGTCACCGACCTTGATTCCCCTTCGAAACCTCTTCGGACTTCTGATCTCCTGGTTCTGAATCCTGAGCACGTCCTCGACACTAGCTTTGGCGTTGGCCCCTGGATTATCCTGCCTTCCTTCATCTGCCCGGATCTGATCTCCTGCTTGTTCTCCGTCCTCTGGGGCTGCTGCATCTGGGACTATGAGAGGCCCCCGCTGCGTGTTGTAGTCAGCTGACTGGCTGTTAATATGGATCCCTTTTTTAATAAACACTTTTGAATTAGCTGTCTGCCTTGAACAGTGCGTCCCCTGTTTTGAGCCTTGACAAAAAAAAATAATTTCAGAATGCAAAAATAAAACTGAACTAGTAAGAATAAAGTTTCTGACACAGAGAAATCTTAGCAAATTATAATCTTACGACTCATATAAAAAGTAGTTGATATCTGTAAGGACATTTCTACCAGTATAAATATATTCATAATGTCAAGAATTGGATTTCTGGATATCTAGAATATTATAATCATTTTCGATATCTGAAATGGTTATTTTGACAAGAAGTAATTGGATTATGGAGATCTGAAATTATAGTTAATTCTCATCAGAATTCAGTTTTAGACATCTGGAAGTAAAAGCCCAATACACATGAATGGGAAACATGAAGTCATTAGTACACGAGTTTTAAGATTTATATTTAAGATATTTAAACTGTTCATTTTCAGAATTTGAGACAGTCAAACTAATAAATGTCAAAACAGCCTGCCATAAGTAGCAGCCATGAGTTGATGGGGCTGAATTCCTCATGAAGTGAATAATAAATGAATCTAATGAAAAGGATGGTGCAGTTCTGTAGGATCAGAAGTACGACCATTTTATTCTAATGTTAAACCAACAGTGATGATGGGATTATTGCTCCTGTTAGTTTGGAAGAAACATGGAGTGAACAAACAAGCAGAAGGTCTCAATGTTTCTATGCCAAAGCCACATCAGTGACTGGTTAAATGTTTAGTGGGCCTGAGACAATTATTGGATTAATCAATTATTAAAAAAATCAGCACCTAATTTAGTAATCTATGAATCGTTAACTGGAGTATAGAGACTCTAAAACATGCCTTTAGCTGCAAGAGCGACCAACTTAGAGCAGGAGTTATATCAAAAATGTGAAAAGTAAATATATAAACATTTTGCATGTCAATCTGCTCCTTTCAGAACTCCTTATATGAAAAAGTTTTAGTTTCTTCTTCTTTCATTTCATAAAAACTCATCTTTAAGAGACCTTTTGCTATCTAATTATGAATCAATTAATCAAAGAATCAACACATTTGTTGATTTTTAATATTATCGTTAGTTGCGGCCTAACTTTTTTGCATTAAAAATGAATAGTAAAAACACAAAACCCACGAGTGAAATGTAACATTACAAAATATGAAATAAATCTGAATATTTAGCCCTTGAAATATCTTAATTGGTGAAATTAAAATATGTTTCCATCTCAAATGTCTTAAAACTTTAAATATTACTATTGATTATTGATTGACGTAGATCCAGGAGAGTCTGGGGAAACTGAGGGAATCCTGAAATATGAATATTTCCAGTGAAATTAACCCTTATTGAACAGAATGTTATTTCTGATTTTGTTGAAAAGGATGTTATGGAGAATAATTTTGGGTATTTGCTCTAAAGTTTGAATTCTGTCTTGAATACTTAAGACAATGTGATATTTCATTTTCTCTTTTAATAAATTTGCAAAAATGTTCTACATTTCTGTTTTTTTCTGTCAAGATGGGGTGCTGAGTGTGAATTAATGAGAAATAAAATGAACTTTATTGATTTTGGCAAACGGCTGCAATGAAACAAAGAGTGAAAAATTTACCCACTGTAATAATATACACATTTACCACATGCTAAGCAAGTTTCCAAATTTGAGACTCATTAAAAACATAACTGAGCACAAGGCAGTATAATTGGGAGAATATTCCCTAAGTGCTGAATATTGAGTTGAAAAATCATTTAATGGAGTCAAATTAAGGTAATAAGTTGCTTCAAAGTTACAGTTTTACAGCATTGCTTTAAGATGTTGTTTAGGAGAGCGGGTTCATTTTCGACTTGGAGACCAGGACAGGGTTACGGAGGCCTCAGGAATTTCAATAATAAAAAAATAAAATAAACACAAAAAAAGAAGCCAATATTTTAGATTATATTATCTTTAAATATACTTTGTAATAATATATCCTCTTACTATGTGAAGGGAATTAACTAAAACCATGAGGCTTTTCTAACCATAAGTCAAAGAAAAGCCTTATTCATCGTGTAGTAACCTACTTTGTGTAAGCCTGGCTTTTTAATGATTAAGGTGCTAAAAAAACAAAACAATATGGAGCCCATAGACATAAAGCCAAACCTTCCGTTCTTATTATCATGTTTACTGAAAAGTTTGTTATTCATTGAAAAAATACGAGTCCTGACAATATTATAGATTCTTATGTTATTGTAAAAAAAAAAAATAATAATAAATGGAGAGTGAAAAGAATAAGCAAAATACGCAACAAGTGGATATTTTTTTTATTTTGTCTGAAGCAAAGGGGTCCCCTACTCTGGTAAAGTGGTTCTACTGGTTAATATCAGAACCAGATTCTGTATTTCTGAGTTTATGGGAATGACTCTAAAGCCTTTTTCCCACTGAAAATAGCGAGTTAACGCATGTTTTATCAAACATGGGTCAACCTGCTAACAATCATATGACTCCCTTTCCACCAGCAAAGAAAGTTGGTCTAATCCTTCACAGGCAGCCACTTGGCCTCAGTCTCCCCACCGCTGCTTGTCTGGTGACGCCATCATGCTGGGTTAGCGTTGACGTCACCACTGTGACAGAAATCAGGAAAGTAAACAATGGAGAGCAACATGTCAGGAAGCCAGGGCGTAGTCAGTGTGCTATATTGTTTCACTCTATTATCTGTCTGAATCCCTCTCACCAGAGCTGCTCCATGTTTATCAAATGTATACAAAGTCGTTGCTTGTTAGATTAGAAGTGACTGGCTAGTGTGTTGGCGTCTGCATGCTGCGTTCAATGGTATCACGTAAATTAGCGGGTCGACCCGGCTCTGGTGTTTCCACAGCATGATATTTTAACATGGGATGCTTGTTTGACACGCATCAGCGAGCTGTTCCCACTGTCACTTTAAACTGCCAATACTGAATCTACCATCTCTGATCTATTTCTCTTTCCGTCAAACACAGCTGACTGCATCGCTGGGGTTTGGGACGAACAAAGTGAAGGCATGGATTTTATGGCTAACGATATATTTCTATATGAGGGTTTTCTTCAAACTGCTCGTTATCTAACCTTCAGCTTTTTAGTTCTCCATCTGGTGCAGATATATTTCCATAAACCACCAAGCAAAGGTGAGGCGATCCTATTCATGGGGACACTTCATAAAATAATAAAAAACACCACCGATGAATAAACAAACATTGAATAGCACATTTTCCTTTTATTGACCTTTCACTAAAGTTCTAGAAACACGTGAATGAAGTAGCACTGACCTATGATTGCTGAGGTAATAATGAACAGAAATGAGCCATAAACATTATTGGCTTTATACTTTAAAGGGTTTGCATCTTTTCACACAATCATTAACACCAGCACTGCTTTTTTTTAAAAAGCAAAGATGTTTTTCTCACCTCGGTTGTACTTCTCCAGGAGCCTCTTCTGTTGCAGAAACTCAGCAGTTAAAATCGTGTTGCTTTGTTTCACTTTCATCAGCTGCAACAGTTAGAAAGGACGTTAAAACTGTTATAGAAGATAAAATAAAAAGTCTCCACTGTAAAGTTATCACTCATGTTCATTCTAGTCCTAATAAATGCAAATAACATTAATAGTCACACATTCAGCTTTTGGAGTGAAACTAAATATGATTTCTAATCTACTGTGAAGGCAAACATCAAAAGGAGCACTAATGCAAGGTCCATGTTATACAACACACATTGAAAAGAAAAAGGCTATTCTGCATCCTGAACCTCAAGCATTCGCAGGAATGCAAAGATAAATATTTACTGGCAAAAATTAAAATTGTTTTTATGTTATAATATTTACAGAGAATCAAAAACAAACAGAAATAATAGAAAGAGGGCTAAAGAGGCTTAGAGAGGTATACCATGGCATACCCATTATAAAATAATAAAAAAAACACCTCTTTATGCGAAGTGTTACTTTTCCCAGTTATTAAGGCATCCAGATTTTTCCATGTTGACTATTTCAAAGTAAGAGTTCATGTTGAGTTGATACCCTGTTTTATGACATCATCACATAAGTGGGCAGCAGAAACAGCTGGTTTCCTTGCAAAGTCTGTGGTTGAAGTACTCAGCAGTAGTACTTGACTAAAACTATTGATACTCGTAGTCAAATCTTACTCAATTAAAAGTAAAAACATCCACTCTAGTTAAAGGATTAAATAACTCACTTTTGAAAACTAAGTCAGTATTCAGAAGTATGTGTATCTAAAAGTACTTAACTATTTAAATTTTAAAAAACCTATTACTTTCAGAAACCAGCTGATATATCGCTGCGTAGAATCACAAATAAGGACAGATAATTAGATTATTATTTCTTATTTAAAAACAATCCAAGCCATTTATTGAACATCTGAACACTTTATAGACAAAGGTGGCTGTCTATCTGCACAACCCCTCTTCTCATTGTCTGGAAGAATTAGTTGGCTGGGAGATCGTGCTATTACATCGTGCAGGACATTTTTAACAATAGTGACCTTGCTAAAAAACTACAGAATCCAGTTATCTGTTTTTAAATATATAGTATTTGTAGGGGTGAAAACAAGTAGTATAGTATAATCTAGATCGTATGCAGGCTGCTGCATTGACATGCTAGTTTTTCCGTTTTCAGGAGACGCTTATAGGAGGTATTTTTTCTGTTTAATAATAATTATGAGAACTTCAGTCATGTAGTATGGTATAGTAAGCCAAATTATCCAATAGCAACAAAAAAGAGGCAAACTTTAACTTACTTCATCACAGTTATTCTTTAGTTGTTGTCTTGTTAAGTCGAGATCAGAAATAAGTTGGTTTTTCTCCTTTAGAGTCGCTTCCAACTTATCCTGTAGCCCTGAAACAATAGCAGAACAAACACAGTAATTAAAGCTTTAACTGTCTTTTTATGAGGTAAGATAACTTTTAATAAAAAGTATAAGTTAGGGAAAGTGAATCCATTTAATATCTTTATTTGTTCCTAGTTGTTAACTTGTACAAACGTTTAACACCCAATGTTTCAGCTCTAACTATACCGGTTTAAAAGTTACAACTTTGAAAAATTACAACTATAAATCAAGTTTCAAAGTATGAATCACAAAATTACAAGCATAAAACTACAACCCCTGATTAAGCTTTTCCACTCCTTACCAATTGGTGGCAGTGATGTACCAGAAGGTTGTTCATCAACCGACATTAATCAAGAAGAAGAAGACAGAAACAGAGCCATTTCGTCTTTTACATTTTTTTTTTCTGAAATGTTGGTTTTAAGACACGCACAGCAAATGTTCAATGGTTATATTTTTGTTTTTTTCTCATTTAACGCCAGTTAGTTATCAACCTTCAGATGCATTACTGCCACCAAGTGGTAAGGGGGAAAACAGCTTCATCATGGGTCATAGATTTTGTTATTTGTACTTGTAGTTGATCAAAGTTGGAATGTTTTAACTTGTATTAATAACTTTCAAACTTGTATTCTCACAGATAAAACATCTGTTGTATTTAGGAGCTCACATGGAACAAATACAAATCTTAAATGTGTTGATGTGTATTGATTTACATTTAACAATTCAGACTCCCAAGCATATATAAGCCATGTCTGAAGGTCCAGCCTAACCCCTAAACCCCCTCCACAGACACAGAAGCCTTGAAGAACAGAACAGACAGGAGATCAGATCAGAGCAGATGACGGAAGGCAGGATAAGTCAGGAGACAGATACAGGTACAGTCCACAAACACAAGTCCGAAGATGGGTCAGGCAAACAGATCAGAACAGTGACAGGCAGGGTCAAAGGTCCAAAGACAGTTCAATCTGAAGAACCCACATGGAGAAAAAAAGACAATTAGAAGAATTTAATTAATGCAATTATTTTAAGCCTTTGGCCCTCAGAACATGGCAAGAAACATTAGTGCTGAACTTTACTCTAATATGCATAAGCAGGTGTATGAGAGCAGGAATGTTTCCCCCCCAGGCCTGAAACTGGTGGTGGAGTGGAGATAGATGAAGTTAGACTGCTGGTTGGCAAGACGATCTGCTTGAGCTGTGCTAGTGCGTCACTGGGGACCAGAAGGATAGATGTCCAGCTTGATTAAACACAGGTTTGCGTGAAACTGTCCATGAGGAGCAAACATGAAGCTACAGTAGAGAGGAATAACTCCCCTTTGAGAAGAAACCTCTGGCAGAACCAGGCTCAACATCGCGATTTTCTGCCGGACCGATTGAAATGTGGCGATGAATGCGGTAAGAGTCCCGGAGGAAGTTAGACTCTGATAGGGACAAGGCTGAAGAAACACCATGGAAAAGCCAGATGGAGCACAAAAAGCAACTGTAAAAGGCGGCCCCGTCTCATCTGCTCCTAGTGTGCAGTTGGTGGTCGCGCTTTGTGACTTCATTCAGATGATCCCATTTCATCCACCTCCAGCCCCTCCTCCAACATCGTAGCTAAAACTTCATCAGAGTGTCATTCCTCCCGGACTCTTATTGCATTCCGCGTCTCATTTCAACCGGTCCGGGAGAAGACCGCCATGTTGAGCCTGGTTTTGCCAGATCAACTGGTTTTCCTTAGATGGAAAACTTTAAATCATTCTGACTGGATGATCTGGTAAGCTGTAAAGTGAGATGACGTGTTGTGAATTGGAGCTATAGAAATAAACTGAATCGATTTAATTTTCTGCCAGAGACTCACTTTACTTCAATGCTCCTTGTGTGAAATACAGATGCACTATTAAAGATGATAATATATAATTATATAATATATAATATTAGTATAAAGATGTCTCATTTCAAGCAGCTCCTTGTGATTATTTTGACACCAGAGCTGCATACATCACATTTGCAGTAATAAAATTTACCCATTATGAAATGTATTCCTCCACCACAGCTATGTAGTTATAAGGCAGGCATTCTTTCCGTATAAATTACAGTATTTTCCTATTTTTTAAGAGTTTAGGAGTCACTGAATCTTGATTATGTAAAAACTGGTTAATCAGCAGCTTATTTTAATTTAATAGAATTAAGTGTATGAACAGGCATATTGTGAAAGGCTGTAATACTTACTTCTGGTATGAAGATATTAGCTTTTCTTTTAAAACATTCAACTTTAGTCTTACTCATGTTGGGTTTTTTTTGTCCCCTATGAATTTTGTTTGCATGAATATGGTATTTTGTCACGAACAAATCTATCTATATGCCACATATGGCAAATGTCAACTAAAACTGACTGATAATTCAATAATGCCAGAGAATTTGGATGTTTTTCCTGCTTCTCATCACCAGCAGCTATTTTTCTTCAGTATTTTAAATGGGAACACATTATAGAGCTTCTTTAAAACATGAATTATTACCAGTATTTGAAAGATTTTTAGCAGTTAGGAAGTAAAAGAAAAACTTTTCCACGTCTTCCATTTTCACTCATATTTTGTTGGTTTGATTGAACCAGAAGGCAACTGGATTGCTTCAAAGTTGAAGAAACCATTTACCTGATATTGCGGTGGAGCAGCAGGCGGAGATGCAGAGTGCGTTCGAAGATCCCAATGGTTCTTGTTCCTCCTCATCGTCGTCTGCGGCTCGCTCTTCTTCATCCAGGTTGATGTCTATGATGGTTTCTGGGCTGAGGTATGATAACATCATCATGCTCTTCCTCTTTAGTGAACGGTTCTCACGCTTTAACTTTCAGCCCCAAAGAAAATGAAACGACAAAGCATTTTAGAGTGTGTATGTGTACTTTATCTTTTCACACTAAAAACTATTTTATTGGAATTTCATTTGAATGAACAACAAAAAGTGGTGCATGATTATAAAGTTAGCAAACAATTCAACGAGGAGTCATTTATCTTTCTAAAATTACCATTGTCCTCCAGTCACAACTCATTATGTACGTATGTCTCTAACAGTTTAGCATATCTAAAGATTAGACTTTTAATTTCTTGATATAATTTTACCATAAATGTTCCAGTAAGCATCAGTATTCCTTTGTGCTGGGGAACCCAGCTCCAAATCAATCGCAAAGATCACATATAGCACACAGACTAAGGACAAACACATTAATCCTTCAACACAAAACAGATTAAAAGGCTTATTGTAGAAAAAGCTAAAGGTCATGTAACTATTTTGGGTTTCTTTAGTTAGTTATTCCAGTTATTATGCAGTAAGGAATGTTCTAATCTTTATATTGTAGACACCAAACAATATAGATGCATGGCCCGACCTCCTCAGGATAAGACTCTGCAGTATACCTGCACCATATGAACAAACGGCATTCTTTTGAGGACCAGAATGTTCACGTTTTGGATATAGAAAATAGGTAGTTTGAGTGGGGCATGAAGGAAGCCATTTATGTTAAAGAAAAAACAGAGTAGATGGACTCAGATTTCATTCTGTCCAACAGCAATATATATATATATATATATATATATATATATATATATATATATATATATATATATATATATATATATATATATATATATATATATATATATATATATATATAACTGCAGAATTGACAAAAATTCATGGATATGTGTCAAAACGTCTTCAGAAAAAAAAAAGTGAAAATCCAGTTGCCTCAATCTAAATCCTGTTTTTTTTTTGGCTACCCTGACCCTGATAATAGGAATTTTTAGAGGCATGGTTGTTATAAGATAGTTTGAAATAATAATGACAGTAAATCCTTCAATAAGAAGGTCACTCCTACAGTAGTATTGTTTTTGATGACACCCTTCAGACTGAATCTATTTTTTTCGCTGAAACGCAATCAACAATACATAACCCACAATTGCATTCTTCCAACAGAAATGAACAGCCTCGTGCAGATGCCCATATAAATTGCATACTCAGATGAATCAGGAGAGACATAGTATTGGCTTTCTCTACGAAGGTAACTATGATGAAGTAACAGCCCTTCATCTAACCTTGATTACATATCAACACAAAAATATGAAGCTTCAAGATCACATTTTCACCTTTCAAATCTCTGCTCCCCCCGAAGCTGCCTTTTAATTAGAAACGTAGGAGGGTGAAGAGATGGCTCTAGATTTTGGCCTGTTTCCCACGTCTGAAGGAATACACCCAATTATGTCAGATTTAACAAATCGACCATTATTGAGTAAAAAATAAATAAATAAAAATCATCTTGAGGTTAATTCTTTTGTCCTTTTCTACAATTACTCATATGCTGTTGAATTATATGATACAGAATTTGTATTTTTTAAGTGGTGGGTGGGAATAAATCCGAGCTTAATATCGGGCTATTAGTATTTACAGACTAACTGACTGATGTGTACCACAACATTTAGTATTGTTTTCAGTCAGCTGTTTTTCTCTGATTGACCCCGATGCTGCACTAAAGCAGGGTTAAACTTCTAGAAAATCTAGGATTTTAAGGAAAACAAATAAACTTCAAAAATCTTAGGGCCCTGCCACTCCTTGCAGATTTAACCAGTGTATGCCTGATGACCCAGGATCTCCTAAAACGCTGCATACACTGAACTTTCTATGTATTTTTTCAATTTTGGGCGTAAACATAGAGTATTGATAACGAACTTCCAGAACTCCTGTCCAATGACAGCCTAACTAATGCATAACGCATGGCAGATTAGCGCAGATTAGCGCTCATGCATCATTTCATGAGTATTGCGAAGCATCAGCTAAAGCTGGTCCCCTCAGGAGCATCGCTGCTCCTGATATATTTCTATTTTTAATATAACTCTGATATAAAAGTTCAGCATGTTTTTTAGTAATTCTTCTGTGTTTGTTTCCTCCAATTTCTCTTGCATCGCTGCTAACCCTCTGCTGACTAAATATATGGATGAATGAACAATTGGACAATTTGGGGTCTACAATCCATGTAGATTAAAAACACATAGATGTAAAATTATTATGAGCTGGGATATATAAAATCATATTCATAGACAATAATACATTTTATTTATCAGCACTTGTAATAAAATGAATATTATTGTGAAGGTTATTGAAAGCTTTATAATGCTGAGGAGGATCTTGAAGTGGATCTGCTGCTTTATGGAGCCACTGAAGGTGATTTAGGAGGGATATATGCCCTTTGTGGACTTCTGTTTCAGTTTCTTTTTAAGTTCCCAGTTACACTTTGGTTTATGTTATTCTGTGTTTTCTTGATCATTGGTTTCTTTTCCATTTTGTGTTACATTTAAGCAGGGTTTTATTTTTTAAGTTACTCTTCCTTGTCCCCTTGTGTCAGGCTCCTTTCCCTTAGCTCCTTCTAGTTCCTCTTATCCACACCTGCTCCCTATTAGCTTTTCAGTCCTCTCATTGTTTCTGTCTCCCATATATACACCTCCTGTTGACTTACTCTTTGCTGGATCCTTGTCATTCTTTTGGTTTATTCATCCTAGTGTCTTCTAGCTTTTTTTGTTCTTAAGTTTTCCTTGTCAATCAGTTCTGAACTTTGTATTTTGTGCAATAAAACACCTCAACTTCCGTCTCTACGTTTGGATCCTCTAAAACCCTCCACACACTTTGAATATTAAAGAAGTCTCTTGTCTCTCAGCGTGAGTTGGCTGTGAGTCTAAAAACCAAACACACACACCAATTCATAATTCAATAATTCAAATTAATACACCTGATATAAAAACGCTTCTAGATTACATGACCAAGAGAAGAAAACATTCTTCATTTACAGCAGCAGATTCCCTCACCATCTGTCATCTTTTACAGACCCACATTTTTTCCAAGACCGTAACTCCTGGACTGTATTAGATATCTCAGAAATCTAAAGCGTACCAGAAAGCAGAGAAAAAGACTTGCGATCAGCTCTAATTTCAGTAGCTTGTAGGACTTCAGCCGCGCTCTGACCGACCAATCACAGACGCGATTCAGTAGTGATAAAAAGTAAGCTTCTCAGGAGTGATAGTGGTGACAACCAATCACACACAGGAAAAGACGGAGGGTCATAAATCAAGGAAGCGGGCTTCAGGATGATGACAATGATGATTGTCTGTGTACTGTAATGCAACATTGTTACACTGTTTTTGGGCAGTAAAAAGTGCAGGGTACATTTCAACCCCCCCTCCCCAAATTATATACATTAAGTACGAGCAATGACAGCATAAATATATGCTATATATATATATATATATATATATATATATAAATATATATATATATATATATATATATATATATATATATATATATATATATATATATATATATATATATATATATATATATATATATATATATATATATATATATGAGGGTGACCAAACATCCGCATTTCCCAGGACATATCCGTATTTCATGTCCTGTCCCGGGCGTCCCGGGTTTTTTTTAGAACATGAGGAAATGTCCTGTTTTTTAAATTACCTTCATTGGACCATTAAATTTACAGGCGCAAGGGCACAGCGCACCACGCTGCGTGTGACGTAATCCCTGAGCCGCGTCAGTGCAGGCAGCCATGTTCTTAATCAGAATATAGATTGCGTGGCTGTCAGTACGCCAACAACATGCAAAAGCGCAAATGTATGTTTACTGACGATTTACAAAAGAGTTTCCCCGCATTCAGACCGAGTCCAGACAAACGGGAGGCACATACACTATATTGCCAAAAGTATTTGCTCACCCATCCAAATTATTGGAATCAGGTGTTCCAATCACTTCCATGGCCACAGGTGTATAAATTCAAGCACCTAGGCATGCAGACTGTTTTTACAAACATTTGTGAAAGAATGGGTCGCTCTCAGGAGCTCAGTGAATTCCAGCGTGGAACTGTGATAGGATGCCACCTGTGCAACAAATCCAGTCGTGAAATTTCCTCGCTCCTAAATATTCCACAGTCAACTGTCAGCTGTATTATAAGAAAATGGAAGTGTTTGGGAACGACAGCAACTCAGCCACGAAGAGGTAGGCCACGTAAACTGACGGAGCGGGGTCAGCGGATGCTGACGCGCATAGTGCGAAGAGGTCGCCAACTTTCTGCAGAGTCAATCACTACAGACCTCCAAACTTCATGTGGCCTTCAGATTAGCTCAAGAACAGTGCGCAGAGAGCTTCATGGAATGGGTTTCCATGGTCGAGCAGCTGCATCCAAGCCATACATCACCAAGTGCAATGCAAAGCGTCGGATGCGGTGGTGTAAAGCACGCCGCCACTGGACTCTAGAGCAGTGGAGACGCGTTCTCTGGAGTGACGAATCGCACTTCTCCATCTGGCAATCTGATGGACGGGTCTGGGTTTGGCGGTTGCCAGGAGAACGGTACTTGTCTGACTGCATTGTGCCAAGTGTAAAGTTTGGTGGAGGGGGGATTATGGTGTGGGGTTGTTTTTCAGGAGCTGGGCTTGGCCCCTTAGTTCCAGTGAAAGGAACTCTGAATGCTTCAGCATACCAAGACATTTTGGACAATTCCATGCTCCCAACTTTGTGGGAACAGTTTGGAGCTGGCCCCTTCCTCTTCCAACATGACTGTGCACCAGTGCACAAAGCAAGGTCCATAAAGACATGGATGACAGAGTCTGGTGTGGATGAACTTGACTGGCCTGCACAGAGTCCTGACCTCAACCCGATAGAACACCTTTGGGATGAATTAGAGCGGAGACTGAGAGCCAGGCCTTCTCGTCCAACATCAGTGTGCGACCTCACAAATGCGCTTCTGGAAGAATGGTCAAAAATTCCCATAAACACACTCCTAAACCTTGTGGACAGCCTTCCCAGAAGAGTTGAAGCTGTTCTAGCTGCAAAGGGTGGACCGACGTCATATTGAACCCTATGGATTAGGAACGGGATGTCACTTAAGCTCATATGTGAGTCAAGGCAGGTGAGCAAATACTTTTGGCAATATAGTGTATGTCTCGGTGTGCAATGGAGATGCAAGGGATCTGAAAAGCCACCTGGACTCCGAAAGTCAAGATAGTCTATTGATATGTTTGTTCGTTTTTGGTACATTTTGAATAATTTTTGCTACACAAGAGGTATTTTTTGTTAATTAGCTCATTTGTTAATTTATTTTTTCCAATAGCCCACAGAACAGACATCATTTCATTCATTACTGAGGCTGAGTATCATCATATTGGGAGTTGAGAGTTATTGTTAACTTTTATTGTTAAGTGAGGGATGTTTAGATGAGACATTATTTATTTCATTGTGCTATTCATTCACTACAGGTATTGTTAAGCATTTTTAATAAATACATTTTGAATAAAATTATCATTTGTTATTGGAGTTATTGCTGTTGACTTTTACTGAAAAGCATTTTTAATAAATCAACTGTAAATATCATGTTATTGTAGGATTACATAGGTCTATGTTAAGTAAGTGCATGTCACAGACATCTCTATGCATGGGAACAGAGACACCCCCCCCCCCCCATCCCCCCCTCCAAGGTGTCCTGGTTTTCCCAAATGAAAATATGGTCACCCTAATATATATATATGTATATATATATATATATATATATATATATATATATATATATATATATATATATATATATATATATATATATATATATATACATATATATATATACATACAGTATATAAAGTGCAAAACAAGCAGGATGAGGAGACATTGACTTGGAAGTTATGGTACAGCAACAAAAACAAGGCTAAGAAAGGCTAAACCTTGACCTTCACTATAAGTCACCATCAGCCTACCATTTTTCCAGAATTTGGTCCAACTAGGTGGACTTTGGGAGCTTTTGTAGAAAAAATTGAATAAAAAAGATTACAGTTATAATCTCAGCACCTGCTGTAAAGGTTGTAAAATCACAGTGCAGGGCTCCTCCGCCTCAATCACAACCTGTGGAGGAAGGGTTTCAAAAAGCCTGCTCTGAGAAAGAGCATCCCCTCATTTTCAAGTGTAGGACAGCCATCGACAGCAGCAGCAGCGGCACCTTCGATTGCAACAGGCTGGGATCATAATGGCATCTCACTAACCAGAGGGCTTTCAAAGATCCATCTTTAACCAGGCTGGATGTTAATGTAGCGACACTTTATTATTTAGATCACTGCTGGATTTATTATCTTAAAACATATTTCTACTTTTACCATGTTTGTTTGATGTATTCCAACATGACCAAAGCAAAGCAACACGTTTCATTTCATTAAAGATTATATGTACCTTTGAGGCCAGAGCTTCAGCACTTTCTCGACATAGCCTCTCTATCTCCAGGTCCTCCTGAATCGCACTGACTTCTTCTATGACCATCTGAGACACTGAAAAAAGAAAACAACAAAACAGAAAGATATAAATAATATGACACATTCCTGCTGTTTAACACTGAATGTTTTCATCGCGTTAACCATAGTCAGTGGGGGATTTACCATTAGGCAATACTAGGCAGTATCCTAGGGCTCCAAGATCCTGGGGGCCCCATAGAACTCTGTTTATAATATTATGTGTGTCTCAGACCCCCCAACATTAATTTCCATTGGCAGTGTTCTGTCAGATGAGCATACCCATAGTCAATACCCATTTATCCCTTTAGTTTTGTACAAAAAATAAACTTTAAACTACATCAACGGACGTGTATCCCTTTGGTTATGTACCAAAAAAGAACAATTTAATTACTTACTTTTTTGTGTTTTTTGAAGCATATGGCAATCTCACCTAAAATATATTTCTTTTGTACAAGAATAAAGGGATACCCGCCCTTTGAGGTAGTTTAAAGTCTATTTTTCGTGCAAAACTAAAGGGGAAAACGCAAATCTGACGTCTTGCACAGGCGTATTAACTAGGTTAACTGGGTGTGTTGGTCTGATGGGTATGTTCATCTGACAGAACAGCGGTTCTAGATCAAAACAACTAGAGGAGCAGGGTGGGGGCTTTTTTTTTCATGGGGCACAGAATCAAGAATAAAACAAAACAATTAAAAAGACAGCTTGTTCATAGTTTGATATAAACAGCAACCTGTGGCTTTGGAGCTGCATGTTTCAGCCCCTCATTTAGCAGATGGACACTGTGCTCCTACCTCAGTATGACACAAGATTCACTTTTAAATCACTGTTAAAGGAAAAGTGTACACAAAATAAAAAGGAGTTCAGTTAACAAAGGAAATTGGTTAAAATAATCATAGCGGCACTTTATTCATAAATCATGGTAAGAATAAGAAAGACAAAGAATCCAATCAAAGCCACCTCTTGCTCTGCCCTTTCAGCTCTGCCAGAGATGACTAACTTTCGCAGCTCTTCTCACAGCTGGAGGTGTCACCAGGAACCATTTGGCTAAACTAAGGGACAAAACAGTCCTTGAGCAATCAGGTGTGCCGCCAACCTTAAGAGCCTGGACATTCCTCTCACATAAATCAGTAAAAGAGAGAGCCTTATGAGGTGCATACAGGCTGAACTGATCTGGATCTGGTTTAAGACACACATATGAAAACAGAAGACATTCAGAAGTGACGCATCCTAAATCTGATGGCCTTTTTACACTAAAATGCAACAAAGAAAATTGTTTTAAAGCAAAAGTCTGGTCAAATTCAGAAACTATTTAAAAATTTAATTATTACATAGTGTTCAATAAATGATAAGTGTATTTAATTAAGAGTCATTTTCATGTGAATGTGCTTTACTGGAGGCATCCATGTTTGTCAAATAACACTACTGCCACCTACTGGTTTGTGACGTCACGGTGCGGTATCGGCTGTTGATCAAGTCCCAGTGCTGTATCTGGTGTTTGTCACAACGCGCTATTATCCAAGTCATCTTGAAAACATTCTTCTTCCAAATGTTGGCTACATATTACTCTAAGTCAAGGTTTAAAAAAGAGTTTTTTGACTTGCCTTCGAGTCGGCCATTTAGTCGTAATAAGTTTATGGTCTAACTTCCTTCAACATTTTTATTTTATCATTCAGTTTTTCCTTTAATACTAATGTTTTATTAATCTCTTTATCTCCCACTATGCCACTGCAATCTATTTTGTTAAGGTGCAGCACTTTGAATTGTCTTCATACAATAATTTTCTAGATGAATAAACTTGCCTTTTCATTAATTATAGAGTTTGATACTTCAGGCCTGTTTCCTGACATTTTAACAATAATGGTTTATTGCTAATAAACCCTCTGAATCCAGTTTCTCTTGATTGGATTGGACTACATTTCCTAAAGTCCACATTTAACAGAGTCTGTCAGGAAATTCCTTCCTCCTATTCATAAGCTTAATGGAGATGCTGATTTTATTTTCAATCGACACAATATGACATGTGTTAAATGAAGTGAGGTTTGCCTTGTTTCCCCACAAAACGTTATTAAAAAATCCACAAAACTAAATAATAAAGTACTAACATCTAACGTCTGAGCTGATTGTCTGGAGCAAAAGAGGAAGGGATGGGTTACATCTGTAAGAGGCAGAAAAAGGGGAAGTGAATCTTTTTTAAGAAACCAGAAAGGGGGAACCTGCAAGAGCTACTCTGATCATGAAGGAGGAGAATTATTCCCACCTCCAAAGCTTTACTAACCAACAAGAGAAAATTTTAGCTTTTTTCTGTTCATATGAAGAAAGACCAGAACATTCAACCAAAGTACAACATTAATTAGCGCCTCACTTCTTTCTTAATATTATCTGAGGCCATGGGAATATCATGAACTTGTATCTGTACTTGTCCTGTTGGATCTCAGTGCTGCAGTGCTCAGTGATGGTACAGTTGATCATAATATTTAGTAGGAATAAAAGGTGTCATAGAATGCAAAACCAAGTTTCAATTGTCATAGATGATTAACGATAGTTCAGTGGGTGAAATGGACGTAGAAAAAAGTTCAAACCCCATCCACACCTCCTTTCTCTGCAAATTTCACAATTCTAAACTTCCACCATAAAACGGGCGAATTGAAACGAAGCACCAAGTTGACGTCAATTTGGGATTGTTGCTTTATTTGGTTCTGGCCTGTACTTTTCTCACATCCCGGAATTGACAAACAGACCAGCCCAGTGGTTCAGTGGCCCAAGTAGTAGCGGTACGGTTGCTGGGCCGCTGACAGGACAGGATGGGGCATTTGAACTAAAACTGAGCCGTCAGCTCCGAGGCTCGTCCAGGAGAGGGGGGCAGCGAGCCAGCCGGGGACGAAGCGACCGAACCCGAGCTGATGAACCGTACGGGGAAGCACAGGGCCGCCAGTGTCCAGGCCAAACCCGACCCTGACTGTGTAGTCCTTTTTCTCTGACTGTGACTGGCTGGATGTGCTCACTTTCATCCTCTGACATGGGAGCTGGCTCTGAGCTCGTCTGCCTGGCTGTGTGTTTCCTGGACAGGGCCGCCTGTGGAGCTGGTTGACAGTTGTCTTTTGTATCTATGCTTCTTTTTCTATCTCTGTTTCTGTCTCCTTGAACCCCAGTGGGCCTCAGCAGATGGCCGCTCACACTGAGTCTGGTTCTGCTGGAGGTCTCTTCCTGATAAAAGGTAGTTTTTCCTCTCCACTGTCGCTACAAGCATGCTAAGTGTGAGGGATTGCTGAAGAGTCAATGAGTCGATGCAATCAACTGGTTTTCCTTAGATAGAAAACTTTGAATCAATCTGACTTGATGATCTGATTGAATTGTCTCTGCAAAGTGACCTGAGATGACATGATGTAAACTGGAGCTATAGAAATAAACTGAAATGAATTCTTCTCACATATAAAGTCCTAAATAAACAAGCTCCATCTGATATCAGGGATCTGATTGTTGTTTATGTTCCTAACCGAGTACTTTGATCTCAATGTAAATAAAAATGTATACAGCCAGCTGAAAGAAACACTAAAATCTTTTGAACTTTGTAATGTAATCATTCATTTGTCAAGGTTTTACTTCGGTATAGATTTATTGCACAGCTGGTAGCAGTTGGTAGATTTTACATACAAACAGATCTTATATGAACGAATTAGTTAGCTGTAGATTTGATATTAACCTTTTTTAAGCCGAGGTAGCTGCGGTCTGATCTCTGCTATCATCACGCGTCTGTTTCCAAGCTCTCCATATCTACACCTCAAGTGTTTTGCCCCACAATTTAATTTTCCAAACTGATTTCCCTACCACGGCTGAATGCTGTGCTGTGACCACTTTTGTGAAGACAGAGTTTGAAATAGGGCACCACATGTCAACAGATAGAGCAAATAGTTTGTCTTTGTAATGATGCCTGTTGGGTGGATTTTCTTTTGAATAAATCTGACATGTGCCTGTGTATTCAGTGATTCTCCAGCCCAAACACATTGTGTTTGACTTACACATTAATGGCGGCTGCCTCACTGTGCCAAGCAGCTGCATATTAGGGCCTATTACGTGATTTCATAGCTCTTAGAAAATTGCTCCTATTCACAACGAATTGGCTGGGGTGGGGCAGCGGGGTTGGTGGAGGGAGGAGGGGGTGGAAGGACAGAAGAAAAAAAAAGCCTGCAACACACAATCATGCCTTTTCAAGCGGAGATGGCAAGGTTGATGACAACATGACCATTGTGTTATAATGATAACACCACAAAGGCATCTGCCCTGCTCATCAAGGCTTTACACAGGCTGCAGATACAATTTAATTCACTGCTCCGTTGGCGGCGCTGATACCATTATGCTGCACGTTGGCACGGGGGGTAATCACTGTCTTTCTTGAGAGCAAAATAAAAAAAAAGACAAGCAAAAAAAAAATATAGGGCAGAAAAAAGATGGAGTGATGATGATGATGGGGAAGCCAAACTTACAATTAAGACTTCCATTTGTGAGGTGTCAGAGCCCCCTGTAGTACTGTTTATTTACCATGGCTACCAGTAATTATAATTAACATATCATTCAGCTGTAAGTGTATTTTCATCGGTCTGGCCGCGGCGGCATCACTGAGACGGACAGATAGGACAGCTGAAAAGGTTGAGTATGAAAACTGGATTCTGAGTGCGTTTGTGTTGGCTGGTGTGGACGGCATCGCTGTAGCGTGGATATCACTCTGCGCCGCTGTTCATCAGTTCCTTAATTAGGTGTCACCATGGGAAAGGAATTGGCCACATCACTGGGATTAATGGTGAATGTTTTCCCTGCTTAAATATAACGTTTAATTAGTTGAATGGCAGAGGACGCTCTATGGGCATTTCTGCTTGAGCTCAACTTTGAAAGGTGTTATTCTTTTTAATTAAAGGCTTGTATACATATATAGAATTATCTCAAAATAGAGAAATATTAGTCCAAGAGATGACCACAAATAAAAGTTCAGTGTTTATTTCCTTTTTGATGGGAGAATTAAGTGGATCCCCTCAAACATTGGATATCAGTGAGTGTAGCTTTAAGATGTTAGCCGTTTCCGCTTCACATAAAAGCCCAATTTTTTTTCCAGTCCTCATTAGAGAAACTTTCGAGATCTTTTACTATTTTCTAGTCATATCTCAATAAAAATTTTTCATTACTGATTTGGCAACAATATTGCAACTTTGAAATTTGATCGCTACCGATCCATCCCGGAATACTTTTTTTTTCTTACTTTTTTACTCTTTTGGGTTTCCTCTTGAATATTTTTGTATTTGCGTAAATATTGCACATCTAAAAACGAAAAAAAAAAAGCAAAACACTTAAATAGCCTTTGGAACGTTACTTTGACTGCTCTGAGCATGTCCGATGATGACATCACGCAATACAATGGATAGGATGTGACACATTGTCAGGATTTGGTGTTGGATTGAGGACCCAAAAGCAGAGGCAAGTAGGCAGAGGTGAATTTAGGTGAGTTTAATGAGGTTCACAGGTACGGAGGCAGGAATCAAAGATCCAACAAAAATAACAAACTAACCAGAACCAAGGAGACATCAGGGGAAACCAAACTCTAGGAGCCAGGGAGAGACGAGGTAAGCAGACAGACATTAGACGAGGATCCAGCAAAACAGGAATTGAAGAGGGAGGGCTTTTAAAGGGGACAGAGACAAAGAGAGGGCTAACAAGAGGATTAGAAACAGGTGAGGACAGGACAGGAAACAGAGCTAGGGATAGAGGACACAAGAGGGCAGCAGAGGACAACAAATGGAAAACCTGGAAGACAGGAACTAACAAGAAAACAATAAAATAATAATTTAAACACTAAAACAAGGAGCAAAGTAAAACTGAATACTCTAAATTAACATAACAAAACCAAGACTGTGACACACATATCCATTTCTTCCAGAAAAGTCTTGAATATTTTCTATATGATGTAGTTTAGCATTCTTTAATGTTTTAAGTATATAAAAAAGTAATTTCAGTACCGTTTTTATAAAGGTTTCGGCCACCCGGATCTTATTATTCTTTTCGTGCATGTGCAGGACGGATTGGCTAGTGACAGGCAGGAATCTTACACACTTTTATTATTTATTTGGTAGTGTGAAATATTAGAAAATGCTTGATCAAGTAATATCAATCAAATAAATAATAAATAAAGAGTCAACAACAATAGGGATGAGAAAAATGGACACATTGATGGGTCACATAAACTTTAAATAGAATCATAGTGATTAACTATCAGACAGCCAGATATGTTAACCGAAGGCTAAAACTGCAAAGATCAACATGGGATCAGCACATACCCACTATTTTTAATTCCTTTCTTAGCTTTTCTGCCGGGCTGTATTTGTTGTTTTTTATTTATTTTTATTTTTTTGTTCCTGTCTGGCAATTTGGCAATAAGAAGAATTGTCTTGATGCCAAAAAAGAGCCTAACAGATTTTACTTTCACAAGTGGAGCAATACGGCTATCGCCATAGTGTTCTGCTTGATTCATGCATATATTTAGCTTTATTATAATCCATGCAGGGAGTTTTACAGATTATATAGACACTGCAATGGGAAAGTAGAACAGGAAAGGAAAAACAAGAAAAAAGAGAAAAGATGATAATAGATGAAAGAAAGAAGAGATAGAAGGGAGATAATGATAAAACATTTTCAGTCTGCTTCATCACCAGCAAAGAGATGTAAAAAGAACAGCACAACCAACAGATATAGAATAAGAGATACAATAAAGTAACACCTAGATACTGTCACTGAAGTATTGTGCAGTATTACTTAACCCTTCATAGGGCACTCGGTGAAATACTTTGAAAATCAAAATTTCAAGCCCACTGTAATTTCTTTCTTTTTTATTGGTTTAACCCTTTATAGTGCACAATCCAGGACAAGACCTTATTACCTTTGTAGCATAAAAAAATATGAGTATTTTGATGGTTAAAATAATGTCAATGTAATACGAGGAAAGACCAACTTGCCAGAATATATTGAGAAAAATGCAAGTTTTTCTATCAGAAATTCATGAAAAACACTCTGAGAGTGAAAGAAACACATTTCTTTTTTGGTCCAACATAACCTTAGAGCCATTAATGCTGATACTGGCACTTACATTTTTTAGTTTATACACCTAAATATAATAGTTAATAGTAAATAGCCTTATTAACTTTTTAACTCTACTTTTTAACTCTTTAATCAGCTTTTTACCTTTTTTTTTTTTTCACTAGTTAACTTTTTTTCAGCTTAATTTACAGTAGGTAATACTGTTTATTCAAGGGCTCATCTAATTGGTCAAATGCCAAAATAAGATGTAGAGCTATGTAGCAGCATCTTTGCTGAATGGCTGGATATAGATCTTGTGCTTCTAGACCTCACTTAGGGACGGGGGACTCCATTTGCAAGGGATATGCGAGTGATCAAAAATGGTAACTGCTCTATAAAAGGTTAATCTGACATCTATAATGCGGTGGCTGAAGATAAGAATATAGGCTTTCTGTATGGAAGTTAATTACTAAGTAGCTGGAACCAAGCACTTGTAGTTGAAAAAGGTCAAACTTGTAACTGTAGGAATGATGTTCTTAGACATTCAGTCAATCTGTAGACAAGATGCAAAAATATGAATGGATATAGACAATAGAGATGCATTGACCAAAATAATATATAATACATAAAAATATTATATATATTATAATATATATTATATTATATTAAAAAGCCCTATCTGTATGCTGTTATCACAGATTAAATTGTTATACATTAATTCTAATGCAAAAAACCAATTAATCTAATTGATCTAATAATTGTAAATACATTTATAGTTTATATAGCGGTATCCTGCCAGCCCCCTGCCGTTTGCAGTGCTGTGCTATTTAATCACTTGTAGTGATTATACAATCAATAGGGATCAATGGGCTACATAATACAGAGTAGCCTTGTAGATGACATCATGCATATTTGACTAAGCAACAGACTTTTACATTGGCTTTACTACACACTCAACTCTTTAGAAGCACTTGGAAAAAAATAGTAAACTATGGAAAAATGCCAATCTATTCATTTAGAAATTGGATAATCTGTTCACTCAAATATAATCTATTAAATTATAATAAAGCCTATTTACATTATTTAGCTCTTTATGTCCTAACTTCCTGTAGGTTGGGTTTTGGCTCTAACAAGGTTCCTGTCATGGTTTTGGTTTTATTCAAGTTTTATCTTGAGTTGTCATTGGTCTTATTTTTCATTCTTGTGTTCTAGGTATTTTTGATTATATTTGCATTCTTAGATATTTCATATTTGCCCTCTTGTGTCAGTCTCATTTTTCCTAGCTCCTGTCTTGCCTCCTCTGTTCACACCTGCTCCCAATCTGCTAATTAGCCTGGTCTTTGTTTCTCTCTCTCATTTATTCTCCTCCTGCTCAATTACTCTTTGCTGGTTTGTCATCATTACCTTGTCCCCTTCTTGTTGTAAGTTTTCCTGGTTTTCAGCTTTTGTTTAACTTTTGGTTAATTAAACTTTCAAGTGACAACCGTAATCTTTTGCATCTGCATTTGGGTGCCATCAAACCTCCATCCCCACTTGACAGTTGCATGTGGAGCCCAGAAGACACCAAATCCGATTTTGCGTCCGATCCGACTGAAAATCCTGCCTCAGAGGTTGTGGCGTTGAGCGCTCATTGAAGGTCAATGGGGATAATTTCCTGCAGGGGGCAGCGTAGCTCCGACTGAGATATAGCCCAGGGCTATTCTAGTCGGACTGCGCAGCAATTCAGCAGTAATTTAATTGGTCTGACAGGAAGAGAAACGCAGTTACAAAGTAAAACACATGCGCTTTGGGGGAAAATAAAAATAAAATCTGCTAATTATTGGATTGTTTGAAATTGATTTTATTTTATCTTTTTTGTTGGAAATTGTCCTCGATTTGTACATATTCTCATTATCGGTTCGTAGGAAATCGTACGAAAAGTTATGCACACTATTTCGTACGTTTTGGACGTTTTTCCTAAAAAAAAACACATCAGTGCGTATGCGCAGGCAGACAGACAAAAAAAGCAGATCCGCGGATGGACGTAAAAATGGGAAAAACAGTGCAATAATCACTTATTCATGTCTCTAACTATGTTGCTTGCTGTTTTATATCTTAGGGTCAGGGTTAGGGTTAATTGTATATTAAATTCAAAGTTATTGAATGGTGCGTAAGATGCGCATACGACGAAAAAAACGTCCAAAACGTACGAAATTACGGTGCATAACTTTTCGTACGATTTCATACGAACTCATAATGAGAATACACTGTCGATTTGTGAGGAACAGAAAATAAAATAAATCTGCACAGATCGGGATCTGCTTGCCCTGCATTGCAGGAGCACCTCTATACTCAGTCAGTCTGACATGAAAAAAATTAGATCTGATTGGAGAATAAAGTTTCATACACCAACAGTGTGACCCGTGGTTTAGACCTGCTGTTATGATGCACTAGCTAGAAATGATAGGTTTCACCACTGATATCCTCAGAATGACTTACTTACTTCCCATAGTATAAATTTGATACATTAAAAAAGGGTAAAGAGGACACCAAGTTTGTTTATCATGGGGTTTGGCCGATCTACACTGACTAACTTGCTTTTGATCCATAAAGCCTTGAAATCAACGCTATTGCTTACGTTTTAAATGAAAAAAGCCTCCTTGATGAGAGGTGAAAATCAAACTTTGAAAAAAAAAGTCCAGTGGATTGTTTTTTAACTTTTTGGAATGACTATTACCTGGATGACTGAGAATCGTAATTTTTTTATTGAGACTGTGATATTTGCAAAATGCTTTGGCTACTATTCAGGCCCCAAAATGCTAATTATTCAACATAAGATGGTGGAAGTTAAAAGAGATGATAGCCAGTAAAAAGTAGATATTTATGTAAACTCTAAAGTGTTTGACAGAAAAGGTCAAAAGATGCAAATATGCAGTGCACTGTATACAGCCAGACAGCAAAGAGAGAAAACTCACCCAGCTGAAACTCGTTAAGCTTCTCCATCGCCTCGTCCCTCTCCTTTTCCAGCGTCTTCCAGATTTAAAAAAAAAAAAAGAAACAAAGCACATTTCAAAACATTCTTCATTTTATAAAAACAGGTAAACAATGTTAATAACGTGAAAGTTTTGTTTGTTAAACAAACAACAAACAACCTGTGATACAACCAGCTAATCTACATGAGGTTGGAGAAACTAGGATTAGAACAAGAGCATGTTCCAAGCACTGTTTTTTATATAACAGAAAATAATCTACCAGAATCTGACCAGAATCTACTTTAAGATCCAAAATTCTGAGATTAATGTCAGAATTTTGAGATGAAATTTAGAATTCCCATATTAAACTGAAATAATATCTAGAAATCAGTTAACTTTTTTTTATTTCTTCAGTGACCCTAATCCCCTTCCTTACAATCTATACTTTAGAGCAGGGGTCTGCAACCTTTCATATCCAAAGAGCCGTTTTGCCGCGAGTCCAACCAAGTAAAAGTTGTTTAGAGCCGCAAAGTAGATGACTTTTTAGAAAAACAATTTTTTTGTTTTTTATTATCTAGTAAGTACAGGAAATTAATTGCCATCTGAAACAACCAAAAATGTATGTATTTTATCTTTTAAAATAATATTAAAACACATAAATTCCAAGCTAATTAAAAGGAAAGTGACTCTAAAAATATATTTCTGGTTCTTTTAATGTCCTTCTTATCCATCTAAAAAAAAACACAAAAGCTTTTAAGACTGGTATTTATTTTGTAGTACATTATTTAGGTCTTTATATACATTCTAGCCACTTTAAGAGCCGCTGCAGAGGGTCCAAAGAGCCACATGTGGCTCTGGAACCGTAGGTTGCAGACCCTTGCTTTAGAGTCTAGAGTTTGATATTTTTTCTCTTTATCTACAGTTTAATATCTGGATCTTGGTTTCCTAACCTTTCAAACAATAACAAATGAAAAATGTGATTTATTTATTTATTTATTTTTGTATATTTCAGATCAGGCTTGATTGGTTGTATAATTAGTTAAGAGCAGATGAGATCTGTACTAAAACCTTTGAGAGATGATGGTTTATAACTGCTGACCCAACCAGCTGCTAGATCGCTGGGAATAATCTGCTAACTGACCATTTGTCTCTGCGGATCTAACTTTCCTAATAGAAAAGGTGCTTATTGGTCTCACAATAGTTTTCACTATAGTAGTGATGTGAGCCCTGAGGTACATGGAGGCCCAAAATGTATCATGAAATAATCAGATTTAAAATGTATTTATCTATTTCAAATATGATTGTTCTGAGTATTTGGAAATCATTCTTAGATTTGCTTTTTAAACAGACAAGATCTCGCAACCGGTCCCTGAACCTCTCTATAGCTATAGATGTATACCTAATGATGTGAGATCATATCATTAGCTGTAACACAGACCTTTGAAAGACAATCCTGCATATTTAGTGAGTGTTTTGAACACTTACGGTCTTATCTTCATCCTCCTTCTTCGGCAGAGCCTCATCTTTGTGCAGCGCTGTAGGGAGTAAAGGATGCCAGTAAGCCATCTGCATTACAGTTATGAAAATGTCAGTGAGAAACCCAGGAGCTACCGTCCAGTTTCAAAAGCAGCGGGACAGTCATGCATCATAAGATCATGTCTCAGAGACTGACACTGTGACTCGTGTCTCCTCGATAATTTTAGCACAACTTATTGAATATAACAACACAAATATCCAGTTTATGTTTATTTCATCTGCAATAAAAGCTGGAAGTTTCTCACTATTTTTTATAAACAAAATAAAATTTAATCCATGATAAAATACAGACTAAATATTTATTTTCTTCACAAGAAACAAGTTGACACATGCTTCTGCCAGCAACCAATCAGCTGTATCCAAAGAGGCATTTTCCTTGAACTGATCAGAAGAATAACTAGCACAAGGGTCTGCAACCTACGGTTCCAGAGCCACATGTGGCTCTTTGGACCCTCTGCAGCGGCTCTTAAAGTGGCTAAAATGTATATAAAGACCTAAATAATGTACTACAAAATAAATACCAGTCTTAAAAGCTTTTGTGTTTTTTTTTAGATGGATAAGAAGGACATTAAAAGAACCAGAAATATATTTTTAGAGTCACTTTCCTTTTAATTAGCTTGGAATTTATGTGTTTTAATATTATTTTAAAAGATAAAATACATACATTTTTGGTTGTTTCAGATGGCAATTAATTTCCTGTACTAGATAATAAAAAACAAAAAAATTGTTTTTCTAAAAAGTCATCTACTTTGCGGCTCTAAACAACTTTTACTTGGTTGGACTCGCGGCAAAACGGCTCTTTGGATATGAAAGGTTGCAGACCCCTGAACTAGCAGTAGCCGTTGGCCAATAGAGGGCGCTCCACCCACCCCATGACCTTAATTAAGACATTACATTTTTTTTTAAATTGAATAAAAAAATTGAAATATTTAAAAATATATTGATATATATTTTTTGGATGTGCAAGATAAATATTTAATCTTTAATAACGACTAAAGCGTCATTAACTTTTTCATCAGATTGGTGAAGTATTTCCGCCCTAAGGCCCAAGAAGGGCCAAGTCCCGGGAGGGAAGCAAACTTACTTAGAAGCTGGAGGTGAAATCATTTGGACCTAATCAGCTGAATATCAAATTGGCTTGGCTAACTGCATGCAGCAAGGCTAAGGCTTTATTCTGCTTTCCCTGCCTCCTTTTTCAAACATCAGGATCTGAGCCAGCATGGATAAAGACAGGAAGGACTGATTTAAAGCACTTTTTAGAAAACGCAAAGCAGAATGAACAATCTGGGTTTCACATGGAAAATTATAGAATATAGTCTACTTTTTCATAGATGTTTGTTAATTTGCACAGTTGCTCTTAAATAAACACATTCTCAGAAAATAGTTTTTATATACATAAAAAATATATAAAGCTGACTAAAAGCTTTTCCATTATCAAACTGGAACAATATTTAATTAGGTTAGTGACACAATATTGGACCGTAAGAAACACAGATTAACCTTCACAAAGCCTCACAAGGGCAACATTTATGTACAAAAAGTAAACCTGTATATGAAAATATGTTTTATTAGTATAAAGTGTTTTTATGATGTTTTTTGTTGTTGGTATTCATATAAATATACTGGTGTGATAACTTAATATACGTTTGATTGGTTTTTGGTATACGTCTATTTTTAAGCTATAGCCGTCCTGGAGGAAACTCCACCAGCTGCCGCTGATTACAAGTGATTTAAACAGATGATTGAGGTTCAGAGAAGTTTCTATATCCTAAATCTGTTGGATCTATTTCTTAATGCAGGCAGCAGCATCTGGATCAGCTGCAGCTGTCTGATCTACTTTCTTAGTTCTAGTGAGGACGCAGGCAGCAGCATCTGGATCAGCTGCAGCTGTCTGATCTACTTTCTTAGTTCTAGTGAGGACGCAGGCAGCAGCATCTGGATCAGCTGCAGCTGTCTGATCTACTTTCTTAGTTCTAGTGAGGACGCAGGCAGCAGCATCTGGATCAGCTGCAGCTGTCTGATCTACTTTCTTAGCTCTAGTGAGGACGCAGGCAGCAGCATCTGGATCAGCCGCAGCTGTCTGATCTACTTTCTTAGTTCTAGTGAGGACGCAGGCAGCAGCATCTGGATCAGCCGCAGCTGTCTGATCTACTTTCTTAGCTCTAGTGAGGACGCAGGGAGCAGCATCTGGATCAGCTGCAGCTGTCTGATCTACTTTCTTATGCCCCAGTGAGGACGCAGGCAGGGAGCATCTGGATCAGCCGCAGCTGTCTGATCTACTTTCTTATT